ACAGCCTCGATTGGGAACGGTCCGACATATCGGTGGTCTAATTTCTTTGTTGGCCGGGTTGATGGTAGATTCCTGGTGGACAGCCATACCCGATCTCCCAACGATAGTGGAGGCGTATCCCGCCTTGACCGATCAGCAAACCGTTTGTAGTCAGCCTTGGCTTTTTCCAATTGTCGTTGCACCAATCGATGAGTCGCCTGTAACTCTGCCAGGTAGTTTGCTGGTGGTTCCGGTGCATCTATTGGGAACTAGGGAAAAACCAAGGGTGATAGCCCACATTGGCTAAGAATGTTGTCATCTGCGTGGAGGTGTGCTGGGAGTTATTAAACGCAAACTCAGCCACCGCCAAATAGTCTACCCAATTGTTCTGCTGCTGACTGATGTAGCAGCGCAGATATTGCTCCAGGATTCCAATGACCTTCTCGGTCCCTCTGTCGGTTTGGGAATGATACGCGGATGAGAGGCAGATCTTGACATCCAACGCCTGCATCAACTCCTGCCAGAAACGGGCTGTGAAATGGGCTCCTCTATCGGACACGACCTTATCAGAAAGACCATGCAGACGGAACACCTGCTGGATGAACATGAGAATGGTGGCGCAGGCAGACGGTAAGCCACGGCATGGAATGAAATGCCCAATCTTGATCAACATGTCAACCACCACGAATACCATCATGAATCCAGAAGACGGGGGTAAGCCCGTCAAAAAATCCATGGACACCACCCCCCAGGGTCTTTTGGGTGTCGGCAAGGGTTGCAGTAGTCCGGGTGGGGCCCGTCGCTGATTTGGCTTGCCTACAGGAAATACACGATGAGATGTAGGTCTGAACGTCGTGTCGGATTCGGGGCCACCAGAAGGTACGGGATACCAAATTCAAGGTCTTGAACAGGCCAAAATGCCCCGCTGCTGGATTATCATGACACTGACTGAGGATGAGTCCTTTGAGCAGGCATCCAGGCACATAGAGCCGATCACGATAGTGGAGGAGTCCATCCACAACTGTCCATGGTGAATTGGGCACCTCTTTCTTTCGCTGAGCCACCCACCCATCCTGCTGTTGGGCCTCCCGAATCCTAGCCCGTACATCTACTGGCTCCCTCACCGCAGCAAAAGACTCAATAGGGAGAACTGTCCTGGGCAGAAGCTTGTCTTCTGCTCGGGAATATTCGGGCTTCCTGGACAGAGCATCCGCTCTTTGATTGTGAACGCTCAGTATGTACGTCACCCGGAAATTGAACCTTGCAAAGAAGAGAGACCATTGGATCTGGTTGATTCAATTTCCGAGCGGTCTGCAGGCTTTCTAAATTCTTATGGTCCATCTGGACCTCGATTTGATGCCGTGCCCCTTCCAGATGATGCCTCCAGGTCTCGAACACCACTTTAATGGCCAATAGCTCCTTCTCCCAGATGGTATAGTTGCGCTCCGCCGGATTCAATTTCCGTGAATAGTACGCGCAAGGGAAGAGGGCACCGCCGGGTGGTCGTCGCCTGGAGTAACACCGCCCCAATGGCAATGTTGAAGGCATCCGTCTCCATGATGCTTCAGGATGGGCTCCTTCATGAAGGCTTCCTTCAAAGCCCATTGTTCTGGAGTGTCCCACTGAAACCGAGTGTTTTTCTGCAGGAGCCAAGTAAGGGGAGCTGTCATGGTAGCAAATTCGGGGATGAAAGTCCGATAATAGTTGGCGAACCCAAGAAATCGCTGGACATCCTTCACACGATGTGGTGGTTGCCAACTCTGCAAAGACTCCACCTTACTCGGGTCCATGGCGATGCCCTCAGGAGAAATGCGGTGGCCCAGGAACTCAATAGTCGTCTGGTAGAACTTGCATTTCTCTAATTTAGCATATAGCTGATGTTCTCGAAGCCGCTGCAAGACCTGACAGAGATGCCGATGGTGCTCCTCTCGCGATGGGGAATAGATCAGGATGTCGTCCAGGTAAATCACCACAAACTGATCTAACAAGTCCTAGAAAATGTCAGTCATAAAGTGTTGGAAAACAGCAGGGGCGTTGGTCAGGCCAAAGGGCATCACCGTGTAATCGAAGTGCCCATACTGAGTACCAAATGCCGCCTTCCACTCATCACCCGACCAAACTCTGACAAGGTTGTAAGCTCCGCGCAAGTCCAGTTTTGTGAAGATTTTGGCCTCACGGAGCCGATCCAAGAGTTCAGGGATGAGGGGCAGCGGGTATCGGTTGTGCACTATGATGGCATTTAATTTTCGATAATCGCAGCAAAGCCGCAATTCACTGGACTTCTTCTAGACGAAGAGTACGGGTGCAGATACTGGCGAGGACGAGGGCCGAATAAACCCCCGAGCCAAATTCTTATCCAAAAAGTCCCTCAATGCAGCCAACTCGAGGTCCGACATGGAATACAAACGCCTCACTGGGAGAGGCGCGTTAAGGACTGTCAATGGGGCAGTCATAAGGCCTGTGTAGGGGTAATCGATCCGCCTCAGTTTCGCTGAACACATCAGCATACTCTGCCAATTCAGAGGATAAGGAGACCCCGTGGTCCCCTCTACCTGACCGGCACAGATGTGGTGGGTGTGGTCCACACACTGCAGGCTTGGAAAGGTGACCAAGTTCGGAGACCAATAGATCTGGGGGTCATGCGCCCAGAGCCATGCCATTCCCAAGACGATGGAAAAATGCAGGTCTGAGGTGATATAAAACTGAATGGCCTCCTCATAATTACTGATGGCCATACACAGCGGTTGCGTGGCGGCCTTAATTGGCCAGACAGAAGCACTCGACCATTAATGGTCTCCACTAACATCGGCGGATCCACCGGGCATTGGGGAATCGTCCATTTAGCCACAAATGCTGCATCCATAAAGTTCGTAGTGGCCCCAGAATCAATCAATGAACGAACAGGAATCCCCTTGGGCAACATAGGAAGAAGCAGGCGCGCCTCCAAGATCAGATGTTTTGGGGGTCCGTGGGCAGCATCAGAAGGACATGATTCAGAGTTGCGGGATGCCCGACCCAAAAGGTCTTTTAGGTTGGGCCTGGCCCGTTTCCTGATAGGGAAGCCGAGGGCAGTCTCAAGACCGGCTCCGTCACAGATACCCCTCGTTGCTTCTTGGGGCAGAAAGCAGCCAAATGTCCAGAGTCCCCACAATAAAAACACAACCCCCCTGAATTTCGCCTGTTCATCTCTGCCATCGATAGACGAGGTCTGGCAGCACCCAACTCTATTGGCTCCTCCTTCTGAACCAGGGTCGCACTCACAATGGGGGACTTATGGATCTCTGGGGTAGCACGGTGACTCCTTCGCTACTGCAGCCGGGCATCGATCCGCAGGCAGAGATGAATGAGCCAATTAAGATCCGGGGGAAGCTCAACACGGGCCAACTCATCCAACATCTCCTCCGACAAGCCATCTTGGAAAGCGTCCATGAGCACAGCCTCATTCCAGGCTGAATCTTGACTAAGCAGCCAAAATTCACTGATATAGCCCTGCAGGGGGTGTCAGCCTTGCCTCAGGGCTTTCAAATGCCGGGTAGTTGTTTGAGTCTTGATGGGGTCCTCATACATCAACTGCATGTGCTCAACGAAGTTGTCCAGCAATGGGCTACGTTGGGCTAACAAGGGTGTGCCCCAACGAGCTGCAGCACCAGAAAGCAGGCTTATCATAAACCCCGCTTTATCCCAGTCAGTGGGGAAATCCTCTGGTTTGACACTAATGTACAAGTGGCATTGTCCCATGAACACAGGAAACATGTCCGGGTTACCATCAAATTTGTCCGGCCTCGCCACTTGGCATTTTCTCCTGGGTGGTGGTGGAGCAGCAGTAACCTGGGCAGATAGCTGAGCAACTTGAGCAGATAACAAAGTCAGCTGCTGGGCGAGCTGGGCGTTCTCAGCACGGAGCTGCTCCATGATAGTAGGGGGTGAGGCTGAAGGCAAACTGTTCTATCCCAGCCTATTGCCGTCCTTGTTAAAGGCACAAGGACCAAACCCCTGCTATGCAATAGGCTGGAGACTTTGCAACAAAACAAAGCTCTTTTAATATGGTTGACAAACCTGTCAAATAGTCCAAAACAGCAAAACTCAAGTCCAAAGGAAACACGATGGAAACAGACGAGAAGTCACAAGCAAGACGAACAGAGAAGTCACAAGCAAGACGAACAGACCAGGATTCCAAGAAGCACTTTGCAAACGGTTGCCTTCAGCAACCAGCACCGCCCACACCTCCTCTCTTTATACAGCAGTCCCAAGACGTTGCCTCTCAGTGCCTTCTCCTTTTTCCCTGGAGTAGTCGCATTGACTGCTGCTGAGTTACTCTTGCTAATTGACGACAGGGAGCGTGCATCAATTAGCAAGTCCATCAGATGTGATTCTTCCGAGTCTGACTCATTCTCCTCACACAGCTGAGCTTCATCAGAAACACGACTGGAGGGCCCAGGCTCTGCATCAAACTGTGAGTCCTGTAATTCATCAGAGCCTCCCTGTGCCCCTGATGGCCCTTCAAATGCCTCCTCCACCTCCTCCTTAGATTCCTCAGACTCAGCTGTTGTGAGCACAGGCTGGCACGGAATCACAACAGCTGTCTAGGTCTGTCCCTATTACTGGATCTGTCGAATTGACAGTCTGGTCTGGGAGGAAAGGAACGGGAGAACATGGCAAACTCCGACCCTGATCCTGAACGAAAGGACTGCCTACGGATGTAGGGGGTAGACCTCCTATCTGCCCGTCTGAAAAGATGGGACATGACTTTGCGTTTATCCTTATTTCTTTTTTTTTAAAAAACAAGTTTTATTGATTTTTTAATTTTACAACAAGGTGCTTGAGAAATGTGGTGACGGGGTAATCAATTATACAAAAACAAAATCATACATATATACCTCAGATCAGATCATTAAAAACTCACTCTCTATTTCCCTCAAATAATATAATATATTCAAATTAATATATTTTTCAATAAAAATTAAATCAATCAGAACAGTCATCAATAACATTTTATCTATATAAATCCAAATCCTGTTTTAAGCTTTACTATTTACAATTACCATATTCCAATTTGGTTTAGATAAACATATTATTAACACTTCAGGTGTCCCTCCTTTCCCTTTTCCCTTGACATAATTCTTATCTCTAAAATACACATATTATTTCAACCATAACGTTCTTGTATTTTCTACAAGTATTCTATTTTTTAATCTAGTAACCCATTTATTAATATCATTTCTTCTTTTATCAGAAATCCCTCTTATTCTCCTTCCAATACAAAATAGCTATCCTTCCTAAAAGCAAGAATATTACTCCAAAACTACATTTCTAATCTATTTTAAATCTATAATCTATCAATCAATCTCTATGTAACTCTTTTAACCCACTCAGTAAAATTTAAATCCGATCCAAATAATTGTTATATCCACAACAAACATATTAATACAGAAAAGACATCTTCTTACTAAGTTCACATATTTAATTAATCTTTATTCAATCAAGATCTCTAACTCCTTATTTACCAATCTTGAACCTTAAGTCAATCCGTGTCTAAAAAGCCTTTTTAACCCATTGCATACAATTTTAGGTCACACTCTTAAGTCTTATTCTAGCTTTCTTTTTGTGCCAAGCAGGTTTCCATAACAGAGCCTCTATGATCAACAAATAAATCTCTCTTTATTCCTTGTGATATCATTTGAGTAAAAAAAAAAAAGTCCCCTCCTCTGTTTTAGAAACCTGACTCCTTTGTAGATAATCCCTTGTTGTTTTAAAAATTCAAGTCTCGACATCTGATTCTGCTGAGTAAGACACTCAATTATGTCCAATTTTGTGGTTAGTAGTTGGTTACAAAATTGTCATAGTTCTCAATCAGTTGTATTTGCATGTCCATTTCTGTTAGTTTTGCAATTGTATATGGTTTAGTTAAAGTCATTTTTTGGTCATCAGGAGTCTCAATAGGTTGTATATAGAATGACATAGAATCTTCTTTAGTGTTGATTAATTCATTTTCTGTTGTTTTCTGATCTGTAGAATAGTCAAATGAAGTCTGAGGGTCAGTTTGTAAGTTCAAAGTAGAGTTTCTGTTTTTTTATTTCGGTAGTAATCCTCTTTTATTTGAACACATATTTGCTCAGTGGCTTCATAGTTTTTTTCCAATGTACGTTTACAGTTGAGTTGTGAATAGGGTTTCTCCATTTCTATAGTAACTAGAGACAGTCCTGTTACCTTTTAGTGGAGGCTGTGTTTAATAACATTTAGCCATTGTCTACCTCCACGGATTTAACTGCTGTTGAATTTCTTTGTCTTTTTCCTTTTATGATGATCTGAAGGTCAAAACCAACCTCAGCATCAAATAGAAAAAAAGTTGCAATTTTAAATTTCTCCACAGGGTGTCCTCAGTAGACTATAAAATCTCTTCCCAGACACCAAAAATGATGTTGACAAAATCAGGAAAAAATCCAGTAATAAAATTCAATAATAAGAATTTTTTCAAGGCCCCAAAGTAAATAGAAATAAAAAATAGTGAATTAAAATTAATTTTCATTCCCTTTTCAAAGCTTCTCTGACAAACACCGCTCTCTCAAAGAGAAATAATTCCAAAAATGCTTTTTACAGGAAACAAAAAAGAGAAAAAGGCTAAGAGAGGAAAAAAAAGTCTCACCCGGATCAACCACCGTGGTTCTTTACACTTAGATGTTCTTCTGACTTTCGGTTACTGCAGCAAAGTGATCGGCCATTTTACTGGCCGATCTTTTCTCCGTCAGCCCTAAAGAGCAATCTTGGACCCCGGAAGGAGCTGCCGCCCTTCCACAGTCGACAAGGGCCTCCTTAACAGTAGTTGCCCCTCCAGGGTGACTTTTCGACCTGATTAAGGGTCTACAGGCAGAGGGAAAGCAGCCAGCGAAGAGAGGAGTCTCTACACATGGCTGCACACACTGCGATCCGGAACCGGAAGTCTGTTTATCCTTATTTTCTATCAGATAAGGATTTAGGGCTTCTCCAAATAGCTGTCTGCCGCAGTAAGGGGCAGCAGCTAAACGCCACTTGGACCTGACATCTGCTCGCCACTGTTTGAGCCACAAGAGTCTTCGAGCGGTGACATTGGAGGCTATTGCTCGAGATGAAAATCTGGCGGCGTGTAGTGATGCGTCTGCCATATATTCTGAAGTAGCCACTAATTTATTCAAATCTTGGTGCATCCGTACCTCTTCTGGCGGGACTTTAGCCTGCAGCTGGCGAAACCAGAGAAGGGAGGTTCTGGCGAAGAAGGAGGTGGATGTAGCCGCTCTTACTGCCCATGCCGAGGCTTGGTGTGTTCTGCGGAAGTTAAGTTCCGCTTTCTTGTCCTCTGCCTTCAAGGCCTCTGCCATATCTCCTGACACCGTGGAGGAAGAGAACAGTGGAGTTAAAGGTTCATCCACAACAGGGACATCTAGCACCTCTGATAGTGCTGGATCCACGTTAAACAGCTTCTTATCTGTCCCCCCCAGGGAGGGGAAGGTGCCAGGCGTTTCCCATTGTCTCTGGATCGTGTTAAGTAAAAGGGGGGGACAGGGAACGTGCTGTTGAGTAAAGGTGGGTTCTGAGAACACTGTACTGGTGTCCTTGCTGGTGGAGGGCCCAGCCTGAGGGACCTGTTCAGAGCCAATCTTAGCTGTATTACTGGCCTTGTGAAGCAGGGACTTAAACAGAGCTGGATTAAAGAGACCCACGAAAGGAGGAGGATCAGGGGACGGGTCCTCATCTTCCGACAGCGGTTGGTCCATCTGTTCGTACTCCTCTGTGAACGACATTCTGCTCTTGGAAGACCGGGAAGGAGAAATCGACCCCTGAAATCCAGCTGCTTCCACCTGGGAAAGATAAGATGGGGCCTTTGACATTACAGACACGGGCCTGGATTTCTGGTGAAGTGTCGAGGCTATGCCCTGGGTGACAGCCTGAGAAATCAGGACCTGCAATTGCTCTGGTGACAACACCCCCTGAGCTTCTGAGGGCTGAAGTCCTGCCTTTGTGGGCATAAATGTGGCCTCTGGCCTCAGAGATGCGACCCTCGTCGCAGATGAAGCCATTTGAAGGCTAGGTCCCTCGCTGAAGGGAATCATCTCCACCTGTTCTGCTCTGGGAAAATAAAATTGACCTGAGTCCCCTTCCGGAGACCAGACCCCTTGGACAGTCGAGGTGGAAGGAGCGTGTTGTGGGCCAAAAACAGAAGCCTCCATGGGTACGGGAGAGGCCTCTTTTCCCCCTGGATAACTGAGCTAACTGAGCCTTTTAAGTAATAAGGGCTTCCTCCCCCAGCTGAAAAACAACACGAGCGGCGCCCAAAATGGTGCCTGCTGCTGCCGAAAACAAAAGAAAGACCTAGCGCTTCAGCTGAAGCCTGAATATCAAGTAATTCAAAACCATTCCAAATGCTCTGAAATGAGCGCTGCAAGCACGAATAAGCAGGTGGAGTCAATACGTCCCCAAACCAAGCACAGAAAAGGAAAAAGGACAGTGAAGTAAGTGTCCCACATGGCGCCCAAAATAGTGCCCGCAACGAACTGTGCCAAAAAAGAAAGAGGCTTGAGGCTTCCTTTGAAGCCTGCAAAGTCTGCTGAAGAATCGAACAGTTTAGCACTGCGCAGTGAAGGGAATGGGGGAGAAAAAAAAACCAATACAACCTGATCCTGCTTCTGCCTAAGACTAAGAGCCAAGCTTTACCATGTCTCTCTCGGACGAAGACTAAGTCGTGACTGGGGAACTCCTAGTCCAGGAGAGAGGCATGGCAAAGATTGACTGACTTAGTCTTAAAGGGCAGAAAGACAAGGTTAACCCATTTGTGGATTCTCCATCGATCATGCTAGAGAATCTTATTATACTGTCAAATCTTAGATTTTTTTTGAAAGAGGATCAACATGAATAGAATTGTTAGGTTATATATGAGATTATTGCAATCAAGACTTCTGCTCAGGCCCTAAGATTACCTCCAAAAAAGATATGCACCGTCAACATGAATGAATCACATTCCGCCAGTGAATAGTTACCATTAGATGCTATTCACTGGTTAATGCCCATTCTTATGCTTTGCTATAGTAACACACCACTTATGAAGACTTCACCAAAGATGGATCTTTAGACACAAAACATAGTTTTGGGGTTGAACTGATTTGTATTTTATTATGTTTATTCAGAAAATTCATTTTTAGATAACATATCCTATGTATATGCCCATAAGAATGAAGTCTATCACTTAAGAGAATTATGTACCTTCAAAATGTCTAATTTTAGTAGCTTATTAAATAATAACTCAATCTATAATCACTGCATATTAAAACATAATTTCTACATTTCTAAGTATAATACATAGATTTTCTTTACTAATTTGCATAAGTTACTATTTTGCAAATCTCACCTCTTCAATAGCAGCATCTTGTAATAAAGAGCGAATATCTAAACGTATCATATGACGGGGTGCTGTCTCCCAATGATCAGCCATCTGAAAATGAAAAATAAAAACTAAAAAAAATCTTCAATGTTTATATAGTACACACAGTCTTTGAGTAGGAATATATGCTATCTGGATACAGCTTGTTTAGTATAATTAAGTAAGAGAGAGATCTAGTCCTATGTTTTCAGATTAAAAATGCTGGTGACAGCTTATTTATAGCTTAATTTGTGTTATATTAATAAATATTAATATATTAATAAAACAAAATCTGCTGCAAATGATAGAGAAGCAAAAGAAGGACACTTAACAGAAAAACTGATTTCTAAAATAAATTCAATAAAAATAAGATCATTTTAAAATTCTTAAACCAAGATTGTTCCTCCACTTACCCCAGCATACAAAATTTTTAGTACTGTAATGTTGGGGAAATCCATTTACAAAGTTACCTTATTGATTTCTTTGAGCTTGCGTCCATGGACATTTCTCTTGCAACAAGTCTGGTTATCTGCAGTTATTTCAGCTAAGTAAACCTAAGATACGTGAAAAAGAGGGAATGTATTTGAAAACATATGACCCATGGCAGAAGTAAAAAAACACACACAATAAAACCTGAAACAGAAAAATCTGGTATCCAAATCCTCCCTTCTGAGGCAACTCACAGAATTCTCATCCTGCTCTGACCTCACCCTAGCCCAGAGTCTGGGGAAAGAGACAGATCTTAAGTGCTCCCTGTAAAGTTAAACAGGTTGGAGACTATTAAATCTCAAGAAGGATGGCATTCCATAGAGCAGGGGTAGCAATGGAAAGGTACGCCTACAAGAAGGTACGCAAAGTGGCAATGTTTAACCTGCAGCATGCTTATGCTATCTACTCTGATGGGAAGGGCAAATACCCTCAGTGAGAAGTGGTTCTATAGATGTCCTGATCCCATGTCATATAAGGCTTTAAAGGCCATAACCAACACCTTGAATTACATCCAGAAGAAAACTGGGAACCAGTGCTGCTCACACAACAGAAGTGTAATATGGATGAACCTAGGGGTGCCCATGCTGTATGCACTGCTGCATTCTGCATCAGTGACTATGAGTAAGGTCTCCTGGACCAGGAAAGAATGCAATTGGCATATAAGATTAATGTATAAAAAGGCTTCCCTAGACATGGTTCCCACCTGCTCCTTAAGCAGTAGTTGTGAGTACATTCAGTGTCATTTCAGTACTGTGCCCCAGCCTGAAAAGTGTTAGGTAATGTGCTTCATCTAGGGCAGCCTGTACCAACCATCTTCTCAACAACCTTCCCTAAAAAGGAAGATTAGAGACTGTAGTACCTCCATTCAGTCATTTAAGAAATCCTTTTTGCTAATGATTATGCACTCCTGGTGCACAAGAATAGTGATTTACAGTTGATGCTGAACGCATTTTCAGATGTTGCTATGCTCTTTGGCCTATCAGCCTGAACAAGACTGAAATACTTTACCAGCCCATACCAAATACCAAGTCTACAGAACCAAAAATCACTGTTACTGACACCCACCTGATAAATGTAAACAGCTTCAAATTACTTGGGAAGAATCATCTCCAGTGATGGGTCTTTTGACAAAGAAATTGACTTCAAGATCAGCAAAGTCAGCTAGGCACTAGGATGACTGCATACTAGAGTGTTCAATCAATACACATCCCTATCTCCACAAAGCTGAAAGTCTACAGGTTATTCCTCCCCTCTTATATGGATGTGAATCCTGGGCTCCATATCAAAGGGACATTAAACTGGAGAAATTTCACGTGGCACTCTCTGCTCCATCTTAGAAATTGTGTGTCCATCCTGGAGGTCTTGGATCACACAGAATCCACCAGCATTAACTCTGTGATTATCAGAATCCAGGTGAGATGGCTGGGACATGTCATCAGAATGGATGACCATTGTATGCCTTGCCAGTTGCTCTATATTTGATTGGAATCTGGGAAGAGACCTTGAGGTTGAACATTCAAGCTCTGCAGTGTTACTAGGAAAGAAACCTTATAACAACAACAACAACAACAACAACAACAAAGTTGGAAGGGACCTTGGAGGTCATCAAGTCCAACCCCCTGCTCAGGCAGGTAACCCTATACCATTTTAGGCAAATGGCTGTCCAGTTTCTTCTCAAAAACTTGCAGTGTTGGAGCATTCACCGCTTCTGGAGGCAGGTTGTTCCACTGGTTAATTGTTCTAACTGTCAGGAAGTTTCTCCTTAGTTCTAGGTTGCTTCTCTCCTTGATTAGTTTCCATCCATTGCTTCTTGTCCTGCCTTCAGGCGCTTTGGAAAATAGCTTGACTCCCTCTTCTTTGTGGCAGCCCCTGAGATATTGGAACACTGCTATCATGTCCCCCCTCGTCCTTCTCTTCATTAAATTAGACCAGGGGTCGGCAAGCTTAAACACTCACTTGGACCCATTTTCCTCACAAAAGAAAAAACTGGGAGCTGCATAATGTGCGCTCATGCGCACAGAACAGGAGGCTTGATTTAAAGAGTGGAGCCTAAGGTGAGACTTGCACCGGCTCTGCCCCCCCCTCCAGCTCCGTCCTGGCTTCTCCTCCCCTCGGAAAAGACTGCTCTCCTCCCGACACCACGCTCTCCCTCTCTGGGACTTTCCCTCTCTGGGACTTTCTTCTTTCCGCCTTTTGGCGCAAAGGTTCCCAGGGAGCGGAAGAGAAAGCTGATGGGGAGAAGGAGCTGCGGGCTCACCTATCTCAGCCTGCTACGGGAGGCTGGAGTTGAGGCTTCTGGCTCGCTCTGGGAGGGGTGCTCGAAAAAAAGAGGATGGGAAGTGGGAGAAAGGACGTCTTCTACCTCTCTGGGGTTCTTTCGCTGGGAGGGCGAGGAAGCAGCAGTTCTGTTCCGCAGGAGGTGGGAGCAGGCGGCCTCTCCTTCAAGCTCATCTCCAGCGGTGGCAGCGGGAGCCATCTGGTGCTGTTTACACGGCCGTTCGTCCGCGTGACTGAGATAGGCAGTGGCCCCAACTCTGGTCTGGGGAAATGAGAGCGGAGGAGGGCGGCGCTGCCTATCTCAGTCACGTGGATGGTTGTGTAAACAGCACCAGATGGCGACGCCAACAGAGATGAGCAGGCCACGAGCTTGGCCATGGAGAGTTTGGAATCTGATTGATTGCTTCTGTGGACTGGTGTCCTTTATACAGGTAACAAGATGAGATTAGGAGCACTCCTTTTAATCTCAGCTCGTTACCTGTATAAAAGACACCTGGCAGGCAGAAATCTTGCTGACTGATAGGGGATCAAATACTTATTTCACTCACTCAAATGCAAATCAATTTATAACTTTTTTGAAATGCATTTTTCTGGATTTTTTTGCTGTTATTCTGTCTCTGTCTGCTGTTAAAATAAACCTGCCATTAAAATTATAGACTGATCATTTCTTTGTCAGTAGGCAAACGTACAAAATCAGCAGGGGATCAAATAATTTTTCCCCTCAAACTGTATACCTAAACCTAAATCTGTTATTATTGCCTATCTTATAAAATATTAATGTTTATGATTCCAGACCAGTGGAAGTTTGTTTTAGAGGTATTAATAATTACAGAAATTATTTAGGGATGCTTACCTCAAATCCTTTTGTTTTTGCAGCACTCCAGAATTGCTCAAATTGCCGTACTCTATCATTGATGGCATCAAGAATGATGAAGGGGAAAAATCCATCATCCAAAGTCTTCTTGAAAGTTTTAAACAAGCTGGCACGATAGATCTCTTCCATATCAGCTTCATATTCATATTCCAAAACCTGATCCAGAAAAAGGGAATGTTAGGCAAAGAACAAAACTTTTTTTCCTGAATAACTTAAATCAGTCTATTGCTGTCCTACATTAGGAATGAATAACTGATAAAATTTATGAAATTGAAATGAAAAGGAATGAGATAGGGCATGTTATTGGCATTCAATTATGAACATGGATAAACCCATGCATCAGTTTTATGCAGATTCCTAAACATCATGGGGTAAGATGGTCCCTTATTAAGCTTATGGCACAAATGCTGGGTAGGAGATCAATAACAAAGACATTTGATATGTGTTGAAGTAGTGGGACACAATTCACCCTAATTTCAATTTCTTAAGATTATACAGAAGGCTACTATGGTTCTTAGTACGGAAAGACGCTGGCAAGTCAAGGAAAATTAACAGGCTTGTTCTCTTATTTCCCCCAGCAAATTTCTCAGTATTACAAGTCCACTCTGACAGTCAAACTTAAAAAGATCAGAATTGTCCACCAATGCCAGAAAATGCTACTATCACTTGCTCTAATAAATGAGAATCAATATTGCTGACAATTAGGAATCGGAGGTTAGGATGGGAGCTGAAATTCAAAAATCTGGAGAGTGTTGCATTATCTATCTCTGCTTTAACCAAGGTTCTTTTGGACATATTCCAACTTTTTTGTCGCAGAGAATTTGAGAAAATATCTCAAATTCATCACTGCACTAAATCCATCATATTAATTAAGCATAGTTATAGTGATATTCTATACAAGTTGAAATCGTCCATTGGCTTAGAACATAGTATAATAGTTCAATCAATACATATTATATCTAAGTCCACATCTTATCAGGAAGCGAACAAAAACATATCTGACCATTTATCTAGCCACAAACAATGCTGTTGATTTAATGACACAGTCTGGTCCAGGAGAACTGCTGTGCTATTAAGCTGATCACTTAAAGAGAATCCAAGGTACTCAAGGTATCCTATCCTTTTACTTATTTTTCCTGGATTTACATTTTGCTTATTTAATTTTGTCTAAACCATCACTAGTTCCAAACACAGGTTCAGAATCTTTCCAGTTTAATTGGTATTTCTGAACATTACAGAAGTTTCAAATGATCCTCGTGGACTCTTCCAACTTCTCAATGTTTAAATCTGCTATATTTGCTTTGTGATATCAAAACAGAATTTTGCAGAATTTTAAAGTGCATTCAAACAGCAAACTGCTTGTTGCATATTTTTCTCTATCTTGCATGAGTTATATCTGAGGCAAAAAAATTAATGACCCATCAATAAAATACCTTTAAACAATAACTGATAATCAAAGACTTTTACATCCCGAAAGAAATCAGGGAACTATGAAGAATACAAACTGTTCTGACAGGAAAATTGTCCAAATCTTCTAAAACCCATTTGATTCTAAAGGAACTAATTTCTTAATCCAGAAAATAGAGATTAAATTGTAGAGTAACAGACATTCATTTAGTGACACATAATCAAAGATTTGTTCAGATCATAATCTATTTTTTTCTAAAATAGTGTGTAGATTAGGATAGCTTCTTGGCTATTGACTGACAGTTTTCATTTTTAATTAGTTACAATAATTAACAATTGGAATATACATTAAGAATACCTTCTTTTTTACTCTTTTCTTTGTGTCTGGATCCCTCTCTTCTTTTTCTATTTCAGTGATAAAATAATCATCCAGACTGAGTACTCTGGGTGCAGCTCCTCCACATTCAACTTCTTTATCCTACGAAGAAAAAATAAAGAAAAATCCTGAAATATATAACATCAAAGCTAAATTTTCATCCAATTTCTAAGAAAACATTCTATTTCCATATCCAGTTCAATTAACCTGGTTGTTATCTATGACAGGACAGGAAGAAAGTTACACAACGTAATCTTAAATAATATGTATGCTGCAAAGTCCAGAATGCCCATAAAAAAATAACTTCCCTTTGTCCTGTGGGTAGATAAAGAAATGAAACTGTGGGAGAAAAGAGATACAAAAAGTGACTGGAACAACATGCAGTTCAACTCTACTCTATTCTTCAGTACAAACTGAAGACAAAGAAAACAATTATCCACTTACCCTGATAAGCTTAGCAACATGAGTCTTTCCACTGCCTGGCAATCCTCGCATGATTATGACAATCTAAAACAGAAACCACAAACATGAAATAATGCATGCTTATTAAGCTGAATGATGAGGATTCAGCAGACCAAGTAATTTTTATGACTATAGACTGGCAAGCTATAGCTAGTCCTCACTTAATTGTAACTGGGACAACCAATTTTGTCACTAAGCAACACCATCGTAAAGCGTGATGCCACGTAACTACACTGTCATAAAATGGCAGATGTGGCAGTCCCAATTGCTTATCATGAAGTGAATCTTGTGCAGTTAGTGTCATGCAGCCATGTAATTGCCATTTGCAACACCTGCTGCTTTCCACACTGACTCTGCTTTTTGAAAAATGGCAGTGAAAATTGCAAATGGTGATTACGTGACATGGGATGGAGTGACCATTGTTAATTGTGAATTGGTTGCCATCAGAACAACAGTTATGTGACCGTGGGGATGCTGCAACAGCTGCAACTATGAAGAATGTTTGTTAAGTCCCCCTCATTCAGTAACTTTGAACAGTTACTGAACGAGCTCAAAATCTTTGCAGATCTGTAAAGATTCAGAAAATGAAATATGACAACCATATTTGTAGCAGTGGTGGACTAGATTTCAGATTTGGCATACTATAACTCACTCACCATTCACATTTTTCTTCCACCAGAGTCTAGGATCAAAATAATACTGGAGGAAACCAGTTATGACCTAAGTAATTCTGGTTACTAGGATAATACTACTTTGTAGTAATTATAGTTTAAACAGAGAATGAGAAAATTATTTAGACAAGGCAAGATGTTACAGAATGAAAAAGGAAAATATCTTTGGAAATCAAGATACTGCTGGAATAAGAAAACTATTGGCAAATGTAGGATTCCACGTGCGTAAACTGCTCTTTCTTCACACCAATCTTTTGCTCTAATTGTAATCCTTCCTGATAGCTAAGTATACAAGATTCAATAATTTAATTCTTCATAAAAAACCATCAGCTGAGAAAATTCTATGACAATATAATTGTACAATTATGGACTTAGGCATGCACTAAAGACTTTTGAAGGAAGCCATGAATGCTTCAAAAAGTACTGTTTCATAAATATTAACAAAAATATGAAATTCCTTACACATAATTGTTACCTCATATTAGAAACCCAGAGTCATAGTTCTTACCCGTTCTGGTCTACTTTCCCGTCCAGGCTGTTTCAATATGTCATCCACATTTTTTGATTCTGGTTTTCTCTCTACACGTGGGGCAGGTGGCGGTTGTCGTGGTATTGTTGGAGCAGAAATGGGAATTCTATCCTCAGCGTAATTTCTCCGATCACCTTTCAATGAAATTTCCATGAAAGAGAAGAGGGAAAAATGTAAGACATAAATATCTGGACAGAATAATAAGATTTGTCAAATAATCTGACATTTTCTTCCTAATGATTCTACCACTGCAAATATAAGCAACCAGAAGATAGCACTATAAAACAAGAAAGAAAGGAAATCTTGATTTTCATATCTCTAGTGTATCTCTTTAAAACATCATTTTAGTAGCTTCATGCTCATTATATGGTAGCTAACTATGATTAGAAAACTAATATATGAGCATATGAATGGCTTTCATTGGGAAAAGGATAAATTCTGCTATGGGGCATTTCACCACTGCTGCTTTAACATCAGATTCATCTCTGCCTGCACAGGCTGAATCATTAATTTACCATGAATGATCTATGTCAGTAATTCTCCAAAATACTATAGATTGTCTAGATTGCAGGTATAAAAATGAATATAAACATATAAATAATGGATCAATTAGTGCAAGATTGTGAAATTCTGAGTTTTTTGCCTTCTCATGATAGTTGTCATTTTTAATGTTACAAAAAATAATTTATTAACTCTGCAAATTCTGTAATGATTATTATGGGAAGGCATCATCTGTGCCATAATGAACGGAGGCATTGTATTGATGACCATGCCTTCCATGAGAATCCACTAAATTTTTTAAGCAGTCAATAATATATGGGATAAGCTTAACCTTCTAGTCTATTTATATAGGTCCTTTCTTGTAGACATCAATGCCTATTGATGTTCATGTTTGGGCATAATTCTAAGAAAGCCAGACAAAGCTACGCAAGTTTGTTTGCAGCCTCAGTTGAGGTAAACTCAAGTGAAACTGAGCAATGTGCATGAACCTTTTGCTTATTCACAAGTTAAGTCAGAATTCTATACAGTACATTACTGGTTTATTATAATATCTAAATGTATACTCATCCATCCATCCATCTATCTGTCAAGCTGATATGAGGAGACAGGAGGTCCCTCAGATAACCCAGTCCTATACTATGAAGGGCTTAAAAGGTCAAAACCAGCCACCATGAATTGGACCTATAAACAAACGGGCAGCTTGTGGAGCAGAGGTGTTATGCGTATTGATCCAACTGTATTCTGCACCAGTGGGAGTTTCCAGATACTCTGTTATATGATACTGATGCATATAATTTATATAATTATTCTTACAATTACTTTTTAATTAGAAAATTAAATAATTTAAATAGACCTTGAAACCTTAATTTAACAGACTTCATTTCACAAATGAAGGTGAATATATGTGTCCCAGGATAATACTGCAGGATCCAATCTGGGTCAGTAACCGGGACTAGAGGTTTATTCTTCTGAGCTTTTGGACTCATGCTGGAGCCCATCTTCAGGGAACCTCTCTCTAGCAGAGTGTCATTTACTGAACTTCAGAAACAAAAAATCATACTTCTGTCTAGATACCATCTTCCCAATAATAGATATGTTCAACAACAGTTTGTCAATTATTGTAAATGATGTAATTTGCAATTTAATAGATATTTGGGAGTAATGGATATCCCTTCCTTGCAATTGGTCTTTTCAACTGTATTTGTTAAGTAATATCTATCGAATTTACATTTCTAGCCTCATTCTAACTCGCTAATTTTCTATTCCAATACTCAATGATTTGGAATTATACCTCCAAACATGGAAGGCCCATGATCATAAGGAGGACGATCAGGCTTCCGCTCATATGACTGTCTTTCAAATCCTCCCCTTCTTGAGACTGAATGATCTTTGTCACGGTAAGACTGATTTCTTGAAGGAGATGGCCTGTCAAAAGGAGAAAGCACTCATGTGAATTTATTTATTTATTTAAACGACTTTATGCTCATTTTATGTGCCAACACTTAGGGTGGCTCACTAAACAGCAATAAACCCCACCAAACCGACAATAAAGCCAGTGTCCAGAATGAATGCTTGGCATATTACGCAAATTATCTAAAAATGTGGAAGAGAGTCTCCGATCTCCTCATTCGTTACTGCTACTGCATGCAATTAATATATGTACAGTATTTAGTAGGACCACTGTAAATAGCACATCTGTATAGTATATCCTACAGTGATTTTAGGGAAGAGGGCAAAAATTTGGTTGATCTCCTACCAATTAGTGAACATTATCTACTAGAAGTTAATTTCTTAAAATTATGTCTCCTCTATATGCAAAGATCCTTTAAAATAAAATAAAAAATCTATATATTACCCTCAATTAATTTGAAATTATGATTTGGCCCCAAAGCAATTATCTAGCAAATGTTTATTTATTTATTAAATGTATAATGCCCATCTTGCCAAGAGGTGACTTCAGTTACAGAATCCAGTCCCAAAATAACTAAGGTATAGAAATGTTACTAAAGACAAATGAAAACAAATGAATTAGGGTCCCTTGCTCCAAAAATGCCACTTTTTCCTGAAAGCTTCATCTGATTTTGTTGAAAAATAAACTACAATGACTTTTGTTTTTGGATGTTTTCCCATATTTTTCTGTGAGGCATAAATTTTGCTTCGGATCAGACATGATATAAACAGGCAACCTTTGAACTGGTCCAGAATGAACATCTTTATTAATCTAATTTAATACCACAACATGCCCGATGGGAGGTTTAGTATAACTAGAAATAATTAGCAAGAAAAATGCAGGAGAAACAAATTAGCAAAATAGCAACAGAGGAAAACTTAAAAGAGTCTATCAAAATGGCATCATGATATGTGTTGCCCCACAATTAAGAATAAAAGGAATTTCAATCCATCCATCCATCCCAGAATAGGATTTTATTCTTATTTATAACATTTCTGTATAAATATACAGAAAACTGACTATATAAAAGTTTCAATAATCATTATGAAGGCACATTTTCTTATTTAGGTATTACGGTTTCACATACCTGTCTTCTCGTGGGTATCGTTCTTTGTCAAATCGTTCCCGATCATGATCGCCAGAAATCCGGTCTCTATATGGTTCTCGTTCCCTCCTGAAATCCCTGTGGTCTGGATTGGTATTATTTTGTCGTTCAAAATAATTCTCTCTCTCCTTGGTGTATCGATCCCGCTGGCCTAAGTGTTCTGGAAATAAGAAGTCAAAATAATTTTAGGAGTAGAATATTATAATAAAGAAATTTTTGAGCTGAACTAAATTGCAAGTAAAAGGATCACATCAGGGAAAGTCGAACCCACTACAGGTGGTCCTCGACGTATGACCCCAATTGAGCCTAACATTTCTGTTGCTAAGTGAGACATTTGATAGGTGAATTTTGCCCCATTTTGCGACCTTTCTTGCCAAGGTTGTTAAGTGAATCACCATAGTCAATTTAATAACATAGTTGTTAAGTGGCTTTTCCCCATTGACTTTGCTTGTCAAAAGGTTACAAAAAATGATCACATGACCCCGGGACACTGCAACGGTCATAAATACGAGTCAGTTGCCAAGCATCTGAATTTTGATCATGTGACCACAAGGATGTTGCAATGGTTTTAAGTGTGAAAAATTACTTTTTTCAGTGCCATTGTAATTTCAAACTATTATAATCAAGGATTACCTATACTTCCTTTCATATGCTAATTTTATGCCCATTATATTTAAAATATTCCAAAGCATTTAAAGTATTATCTCACAAAGAGAAAAATGCAGTTCATCTTAAAAATAAAGCTATCAAATACCAAACAGATTTCTTTTGTTCTCAAAGAGATATTTCTGTGACAACAAAGATAAATCCACCTTTTGAAAAGGGTTGCCTTTCATGAGGTTCTGGACGCAGAGTTATTCGCTCCCCGTAAGGAATTTGTTGTCCACTTTTACTGATGGTTGTATCTGTTAAATACAAATTGATAATAATTAAAGACCCTGACAGCTTCCAGATACTGGCTCTAGACTTCCACCACATTCCTAATTTGGCCTGGATGAACTGATCAACATACTGATATCTCACTTCAAACTGGTGGATTTTCCCAGTGGCTTCATGTAGATATTAAACAGGACAGAGAAAGGGTTGAGTATTGTGGTATAATGGAATTTCCTTTGCTTTCAAACATTAACTGCAATTGCTTGCTCACATGGAAGTATTCACCACTATATAGTGACTCTGATCTCCAGCCCTCACAGGCAATCCAGAAAAATACACTGGTCAATATTATCAAAGGCCACTAAGAGATTTAGCAGAACAAGCATAGACATATTCCTCCTTTCAAATCTCAGTACAGGTCATTCATGAGGAATACTGATGTGATTTTAGTCCCCTTGTCAGGCCTGAGGTCTAAATCTGTTTCTTTCACAGTATTTGTAGTTGTTATCCCACAACCTCCTCTACAACTTTCCCCCAAAGGTGAGACTGGAAATACAATAGTTGTCCAACACTAAGAGACCCACGACAGGCTTCTTTAGAAAGCTCCTTAAATGTTTTATTAAGTAATAATCAAAACATTAGCAGCATTTACCTTGACCATGGCTGTGTCCATGTCCGTAGTCAACAGTCTGATGAATAATTGGTGGTTTGGCATGGGGTGCCATACTAGGCAGAAGAGATATTGATGAAGGCAATGAAGAATCCGATGTAGATAAGTCATATTCTGATTTCAACCCTTTATCCTCACTACTGTCCCAAAGTCCCTGAAAAGAGTCCTCATCCCAACGTTCTTGATGCATACCAGTTGATGTCTTTATCATGGGAACTGAAACCTGAGCTGTTGCTGCAGTTGAAATGGGAATTGGTGGAACAGATGGTTTCCCTGTTGGGATAGGAATCTTTGCAGCTGAAACAGGGGGTCTTGTCATTGGAGAAGATTTTACAGGAGGTGGCTTAATGGTTGGACCAGGTTTCCGAAACAAGACAGGGGGCTTTATAATTACTGCTGGAGAAGGCTTAATAGATTGTTCCTCTGCTGTCATTTTACCTTGCATTTCAGAAGAGGCCTGTATAATGGGAAAATTGAAAATAAAATTTGTAAAATAATTGTTATATCAACGTTATCATCAGCCATGCTTTCTTTTGCACACCCTAACAAATCACTGTGAACCATGGGATTTCCATGCTTCTCTTTTTCCGCTCCAATTGGGCCAGGTTGGAAGCTTTCACCTTCAGTCTAATCATGGACTGCTGGGATTCCTTGGCCAAAACTAAGAGGAAATTGAATTTGTTAATTGACTGACATTGGTTATTTTAAAAAACTTGATCTGAAACTGGTTTCTTTAAGCTAATGTTTTTAATTAACCTGAGGCCCAAATCCAGATATTCAACAAGCAACCAAATCAATTTCTAAGCCTGGATTGCAGAAAGAAGAGAGAAGGCAATGCATGACTTCGTATTCATTGTGATTGTTCCTATTTATGCAATCTCACTAGGCTAAATAATGGTCGCTTGCATGCTAAAATTTTTTCCTTTATTCCAAGCCAGCATAACTATAATTTTGGAGAAGGCTGCAGGAAGCTATTGTTAAGCATGATAGAACATATATAGGGAACCAATGCTATAACCAACCAACTATATGCCTTGATCCTTTTCTAAAATGTGTACATTCAGTGTTAAAAATGGTACAAAACAAATACAAATTAGGACATATTTTAAAAATGTTATTATATATAAACATTTAAACTAGCAAATATAAAGGGACTGGATTAATAACTGGCAGGCTGTAAGTTCCAGTCTTGCCTTAGACATGTAACTAGTTAGTTGACTTTGGGTCAATCACTCGCTCTCATACCCAGGAAGAAGGCCATGGCAAACCCCTTCCAAAAATGGTTTGACCTACCTGCTTATACAGATACCAACCGTCAAGACCAACTTGAAGGCACAAAAATAAAACAAAATCAAACATGCACCTCTTTTGGAACAGCATATCTCTGAAATTCAAATGGGCATGTGCTGGTCTTCTATGCCATGAACACCTGGGTTTTCTGTGAACACTGAGCCAGAATATCAGATCAATCCATCTTGAAATGGTTTGGGGGAAGCTTGTTTGGGAGCCAATTTGGTGTAGTGGTTAAGGCACCAGGAAACCTATGAGCTCTAGTTCTGCCTTAGGCATGAATACCAGCTGAATGATCTTGGGTCAATTATGTTCTCTCAGACCCACTTACCTCACAGGGTTGTTATAGGGTAAATAAGAGGAGGAAGAAGTGTTAGGTGTATTCGCCTCGAGTTATTTATAAAAATGATAAGCAGGATAAATAAATGTTAATATGATTTTGAGTTAGCCTTAGTTGTTTTGTATTTGGTGTTTATATTTATTAGATGTTTTGTGTTTTGTAATTTGTAACTTGGGTGACTATATAAATATGCATATATACATAAAATCCTTTTATTAGCAACAATAGTCTCAGTGGTCCATAGTTATCTTCCTATGTCTCAGCATTATGGTCAAGGGTTTTATTGTAATTTTTTTTTGTTGTTGTTAATTGCGAAGTTGTGTCCGATCCATCGCGACCCCATGGACAATGTTCCTCCAGGTCTTCCTGTCCTCTACCATCTTCTGGAGTCCATTTAAGTTCACACCTACTGCTTCAGTGACTCCATCCAGCCATCTCATTCTCTGTCGTCCCCTTCTTCTATTGCCCTCAATCTTTCCCAGCATTAGGCCTTCTCCAGTGAGTCCTTCCTTCTCATTAGGTGGCCAAAGTATTTGAGTTTCAACTTCATGATCTGGCCTTCTAAAGAGCAGTCGGGGTTGATCTCTTCTAGGACTGACCGGTTTGAACGCCTTGCAGTCCAAGGGACTCGCAGGAGTCTTCTCCGGCACCATAGTTCAAAGGCCTCAATTCTTTGGCGCTCAGCCTTTCTTATGGTCCAACTTTCACAGCCATACATTGCAACTGGGAAAACCATGGCCTGGACTATACGCACTTTTGTTGGCAGGGTGATGTCTCTGCTTTTTAGTATGCTGTCTAGATTTGCCATAGCTTTCCTCCCCAGGAGCAAGCGTCTTTTATTTTCTTGGCTGCAGTCCCCATCTGAGGTGATCTTGGAGCCCAGAAAAATAAAATCTGTCACTACCTCCATTTCTTCCCCATCTATTTGCCAGGAATTGAGAAGGCCGGATGCCATGAGTTTGGTTTTCTTAATGTTGAGTTTCAAGCCAACTTTTGCACTCTCCTTCTTCACCCTCATCAAGAGGCTCTTTAATTCCTCTTCACTTTCTGCCATTAGAGTGGTATCATCTGCATATCTTAGGTTGTTGATATTTTTCCCGGCAATCTTAATTCCAACTTTTGATTCATCTAGCCCTGCCTTTCTCATGATGTGCTCTGCATATAAGTTAAATAGGCAGGGCGATAGTATACAGCCTTGCCGGACTCCTTTTCCAATTTTGAACCAATCAGTGGTTCCGTGTCCAGTTCTCACTGTTGCTTCTTGACCCGCATTTAGGTTTCTCAAGAGACAAATGAGATGGTCTGGTACTCCCATCTCTTTAAGAACTTGCCACAATTTGTTGTGATCCACACAATCAAAGGCTTTTGCATAGTCAATGAAGCAGAAGTAGATGTTTTTCTGGAACTCCCTAGCTTTCTCCATGATCCAGCTTATGTTGTCAATTTGATCTCTAGTTCCTCTGCCTCTTCGAAATCCTGCCTGTACTTCTGGTAGTTCTCGATCCACATACTGCTGGAGTCTAGCTTGTAGATTTTAAGCATAACTTTACTAGCATGTGAAATGAGTGCAATGGTGCGATAGTTTGAACATTCTTTGGCATTGCCTTTCTTTGGAATTGGAATGTAAACTGACCTTTTCCAATCCTGTGGCCACTGTTGAGTTTTCCAGATTTGCTGGCAAATCGAGTGTAGCACTTTTACTGCATCGTCTTTTAAGATTTTGAATAGCTCAGCTGGAATACTGTCACCTCCACTAGCTTTGTTGTTGCTCAGATTTTCTAAGGCCCATTTCCCTTCACATTCTAGGATGTCTGGTTCGAGGTCAATGACCATCTCATTGTGGTTATCTGGGATGTTAAGCTCATTCTTGTATAGTTCTTCTGTGTAGTTTTGCCATCTCTACTTAATCTCTTCTGCCTCTGTTAGGTCTCTGCCATTTTGGTCCTTTATCATGCTCATCTTTGCATGAAACGTTCCCTTCATATCTCCAATTTTCTTGAAGAGATCTCTGGTCCTCCTTATTCTGTTGTTTTCTTCTATTTCTTTGCACTGTTCATTTAAGAAGGCATCCTTATCTCTTCTAGCTATTTGTCACCTCTACTGTATATTCATCAGGGATACGATTTAGTTCATACCTGAGTGGCCTAGTGCTTTTCCCTACTTTTTAAAATTTAAGCCTAAATTTTGCAATGAGAAGCTCATGATCTGAGCCACAGTCAGCTCCTGGTCTTGTTTTTACTGACTGTATAGAGCTTCTCCATCTTTGGCTGCAGAGCACATAGTCAATCTGATTTCTATGTTGACCGTCTGGTGATGTCCATGTGTAGAGCCATCTCTACAAATAGCTTCAAATTGCAAATAGCTTCAGGCAAATCATAAACAATGGTTTCAGTTAAACATATAAGGCCATTCAGATTTCACGCTTCGACCTGTTGTTATATCCCTTCATTTAACTGCCTTGGTTAGTGACCATTTGCATATATGACAACAATAAAACACCCATTTTCCAACCAAGGCATACGTGTATGACCAAATTTTGCACTCTTGACAACAAATAGAGTATTGGTTGTTGTAGTTGTATGACAGAACTTAATCTGAATAAGATGGTAACATCCAATGATCCTTGTGGCGTGTCTCTCTTAGTCACATATTCTGTTAGCAACCATTCTGCTTAATGACCTGGTTGTCGAAATGGAAACTGGTTGCTAAATGAGGTGTGGGTGGGTGTACATGCTTGTATTTTGTTCCATTTTATGATGATTTAGGACACTTTGCAAATTATCTTGAGGATTTTTTTTATAGGAAAACCAAACTATAAATACTTTTTAAAACATACAGTCTATCTGAAAGCCATTTATAAGCAATATTTTAATTTACCTGAAAGTTATCTTTCCTAGCAGACGCACTTTGCGACCTAGACATTTCTTGTAATGGGAGTTCAGACATTTGAGTGTCAGGAACAAATTCATTCATCTTCTGCATATGTTCTTTTTGTTCCCTATAATCAGAAAAATATATTGTTTGTTGTAAATGGTCTTTTTAAGGATACAAATGTACACACTTTTAGTTTAACACTGTGGAATGCCACCTCCAGGAGACCTTCCACCTTCAGATTTATGGCCCTATCAGGCAATAAGTTAAAAAGAACAGATGTCAAAAACTGAACCTGGAATCTTTAAATGTGACTCACTTGCCCCCACAACAGCTCTAAAAGTATATTATACCATCTATTCAAAATAGGATAGGATGATGTACTGACATACTTACATAATTATACACTTAAGCAGCAGTAGTTTAAATTAAATAAAGCAAAAGCAGACTTCTATAGCTTGTTAATTTTCTGCACAAATATTTTAAAGTACTGGATCTAAAGATATAATTCACAGGTGTGAGATAAAACTCTCTTGGAAGAATTATTAATTGGTAGCCTTCTCAGTATTATCTCAGCTTATTTCTCAAACGGATTTGGGTGATGGAACTGCATTCGTAAAGGAAACCTATATGAATGATTCTGTAAATTTTCCAGATCTTTTGTTTTCTTATGCCCTTCACTCACTCAATTCTATTTGAGATTACAATATAGGATTCTTTCTTCATCATCACAATTAAAAAAATATCACCTGCTATGTTATTTGAACTCTTCTATCATTTACTTTTTGTGCTTATATATTTAATGGAGGGTCCAAATTAAAACAAAGATTAACTCCTTTAGCTTAAGAGATATTGTATACTATTTAAAGCAGTTATTTCAACTAGCATAAAATGCGTTTTCATTTAAAGTGATTAAAAATGTATAGTTGACGCCTAACTATATTTTTTAAAGCACTTGGTAAGGGTAATTTATATGAACAGAAGACTAAGGAAAGTATAATTGTTCTAAAATAGACAAGGAAAAAAATCAACTCACCGTAGCATCTTTAGTTCTTGGGCAGCCTTCAAGATTATTTCATGTTGCCTTTGACTAAGAACCATTACTCCTCCTAATGACTGCTCAGAAGCTAAATTTGGCTCTTCTTCCAACAATTCAGATGAGCGTGGCAGCATGGGTGGTGGATCCAATATAAATCTATCCATTTCATCAGAATACCACCTCTCTGAAAACCTTTCTCTTTCCCAGTCTCCTCTGTCGGGAGGGAAATCAGACTGTTCTCTCCATGTATCACGTCTTTCTGGATATTCACGAATTCTAATCCCCCCTCTGTCTCTAGAATTTCTGTTGTAGAAATCTCTCTCTCTCTCTTCTAACCATCTGTCCTCATGATATCTATCTATGGGAGGAAGTGGCGGCAGAGGTGGCAAAGGAGGTAGAGGTGGTATGTCCATATCACAATTCAATGCATCTCTGTCCCCCGATGGTCTGATATAATCCCTGTCCCAGTCTCTTTCCAATTCACGATCATACACATCCAAGGGTCTTCTGATCCTGTCAAGATCCCTGTCTCCCTCTCTGTCTCTACTCAATGGCCTTTCCCAATCATCCCAAAGTGGTTCTCGATCCACCAAAGGAGGTAAAGGAGGAAGAGGGGGAAGTGGTGAAAGAGGGGGTAAAGGATGATGCTGTGGCACCCCCTCCTCTCTCTCATATGGATCAAGGGAATCATCATACCTCTGGTCTCGATCGTGCCAATATCTATCTCTTTCCCAATCATCCAATCGTCTGTGTTCTAAAGGAGGAATATCTCTGTAGTCAAATGAATGACTTTCTTCTATGCTTTCCTCTCCATAACTCCACGGAGGCCTTGGTGGTTCTTCGCAAAATGGCAGTAAATTTTCAGTGTTTTCTCCAAGTCCTGTATCACATCTGTGTAGGTCCTGCTCCCGGTTGGTAGGCCTTCTAATGGGTTCTCTTTCCCGACCATTACCTTGTCTATCTGTGTCCCTCTCTCGATTAGTAGGTTGTCGACCCGGGCCTCTCTCCCTGCTTCCAATTTGCCAGTCCAGTCCTCTCTCCTGACTGCTGGGAGGCCTGATTATACCTCTTTCCTGACTATTTGCTTGGATTCTTTCCCTGCTGCCCATCCGAGGCGCCGGTAATCCTCTTTCTTGGCTATTTGATTGCCTGCCCAGTACGCTTTCCTGGTTACCTCCCTGTCTACCCATCCCAGAGTCCCAGTTGCCTAACTGACCTTCTGGAAGTTTGTCATGGGTTCCTAGCCCGCTGCTTATCTCTCTACCAACAACATCCCTTGATTGACCTCTCCCTCTATTTGCTATTCCTCTTCCTCTCATATCTTCTAATCGACCCTGTCCTCTGCCTCTAGTATCTTCCATTCTGTACTGGCCTCTGCCTCTGGCAGTTGAACCTATTCCCTGGTTATCTCCTGGTTTCATTTGTCCCTTCTCTCTGTTTTCTACTTTAGATGATTCCTTATTCTGTTTATTGTCTGGAGAAACCAATTTATTTTCTGTAGAGTTTATATCTTTATTTTTTATGATTGGTGATGGCAGTAACATTTTCTTCCCTCCTGGTGCTGGAGGAATATTGGACTGATGCAGACTTGTGGAAGTGCAAGAAGTTTTGGATGCTTCTGCTTGTAATCCAGAATCCATGGCACTTGGTTTCTTTATTTCCGACACTCCTTCTATGGCCTCCTTTCTGGATGTATTTTGGTGTACATTAGGCAGACCCTTATCTGGCTGAACTGGGCCAGAAACTTTTACATCAGAGATAAATTTAGATTTATTGACAGTATCAGTAAATAGTTCTTTATTTTCTCCTTGATGGTTCTGTTGTCCCAAAGGAGGTCTGGGTCCCCGCCCCCGTGGTCCACTTGCTTGAGAAGACTGCATGTGTGATGTTGCCAAAGGAGCATAAAATGCTGCTGCTGGCCCTCGAGGAATTGTCCCCCGTTTTCCTGAAGATCCATCTGTATGCTGATTTTGAAGTCTTGCCCTTGGACCTTCTAAGTGTTGGCCCTGAAAATGAGGACCTTGTTGCCTTGGAGATTCAACGCCTCTTCCCCGGGGTCCATCAAATCTGTGGAATTAAACAGAATGTTTTATTCAATTAACAGCTTTGGTGAGACTTTTCTATAAAACAATTCTCCTGGTCAGAGGAATAAATATAAAATTTGTTTATTGATTAAAGTAACTGTATTGAATAAAATATGGTAACTACAGCAATTAAAAAATCAGATAAGATAATCTCCTGGGCAGTTGATTCCTTTCAGATCAAGTTAGGAACTTCTCAGTTGGATGGCTTCAGCTAGCTATAAGCCTAGTTTTCTTTCTACTTCCTACATGTTTGTATCTTGGAGAAGGTAAGATTGATGGGTCCCAATGAGCTGTCCTGTCAATTAAAGACTTTAAAAGTTGTGCTCTGACAAAAGCATGTAGTTTTAAATAAAAGAAGATATGAGTAATGTCTTCTCTCATATATATATTTATATATATATTCTCTGAATAAGGTACTTGATGAAACTGCCTGTATTTTACATAGAATCCAGAAACTCAAAATCTTGCTCTGGTTAGAGCTGCTCTGTGTCAGGCCCATAGTCTGATATGTTTTTCTAATTGAAAAGGTTTTTTTGTTCTGGGCCAGCATTTTATATTAACATTGTCTCTATTTCAACTTGAGCACTAACATATTATACTAGGAAATAGGCATATTTTATTATGTTTCCAGATAAAGATTTTTAAATATTTTTCATTGAGAATTCCAAATTGATTTTTCATCAAGCATTTTTCATCCTTGTCATGTTAATCTAGCAGTATATTATAAATCTTATCTATGTAGTACATGATTTACACTACACTACACTGCACTTGACAATGGAGATAAGATAAAAATATATTAAAGACATAATTTGTGGCACATGAATGGAATGATCACTCCAGAGATTTGGTATTTGAATAAACATTTGTAAAAATATTATTTTATGCATTATTTATTCTGTATTCCTTCTTTCAGTGCAAAATTCAACTTCAAATCAGATAAAATGGCAAAATACTTAAAGGCATCAAATTTAAATACAAACAAAACTTGTACAAATCCCTTTACTGTAATGAAACAAGAGAGTTCTTGAAATGACTACAGAGTATTTCTGATTATCAAATGATTCTGGCCCTAATTTAAATAAGAGTGAATTTATAACAAATATTGCTGGAGTTGTTTCTGAGGTAGGCTTTATATTTGGTTTGCCAATACTCCAGCTGTGAGACACTTTGGAGTATCTGATATAATACATCAGCTTCAATTCTACAGTTACCATTGTGAATTTATGTACTCTTCCTTCTATACAGGTAGTTCTTGATTTACAACAGTTTGTTTAGTGATTGTTCAAAGTTATGTCATTGAAAAAATGAGTTATGACCATTTTTCACATTTACAACCGTTGTTGCATTCCCATGGTCATATGATCACTTTTTGTGACCTTCAGACAAACAAAGTCAAAGGGGAAGCCAGATTCACTTAACAAACATGTTATTAACAACTGCAGTGATTCACTTAACAACTGTTGCAAAAAGGTCATAAAATGGGACAAAACTCACTTTACTAATGTCTCACTTAGCAACAGAAATTGAGGTTGTAAGTTGAGGAATATCGGAATACCCTGGGGTTTTCCCTAAGTGTAAATATGAGCTATCTGGCTGTATAATTTCTGCTTTTCTTCCACATTATTTGGGATTCTTTCTTTTGGATTGTTTATGAAACCATTTTGACTGCTAAGTTATTGAAAGACAACTTTTAAAGCGTACTCCTGACTTCAGAACCTTGTTTCAAGAAGCATCCTTTATTATCAGAAGGAAGAATAGTTTCCTAAATTATTTAGGAATGTCTAAAGTGTATCTATGTAAAGCATAGTTTGGCAATGTGGGAATATGCCAATAACTATTTATTTATTAAATTACGGTATATAGCAGCCCATCTCATGGGAAGTGACTTGGGGGATATACAATAGTTAACATAATCAGATCTGCCAATCTGATTATCAGACAAGCATATTCTTATCTCTATAAACATATCACATCTCTAAATGTATATAATATAGGATTTTCCAAGTAAAAATAAAACAAAAAGAATACCTACCTTGGGCCCTTGGGCCCTTCATAGTATGGTGCCCTGGGGGAATCAGAAAACCCAGCTGGCTTCAAGGATCTGTTCTGATAAGCAGTGGTGGTAGTGATAGTAGTGGTGGACACAGACGAAGAAGCTACTGCAGAATCTGATTTCACTTTTATAGAAGCATGGTCAGATGAGGCTGACCCAAATGCCGCTGCCTTTTTGGCCAGAGGAGCATAAGCATCATCTTGGTCTGAAGAGCTAGCAGATGCTGTCATGTTTGAATGATAAGGCAAAGAGGCTGATGTATCAATGCAAGAAAAAGAAGTAGAGGCAGGGGTAGGAAGAAGGGCTGGTCTGGTGGTTTCAGTGACTTGGGTAGCTGCATTTGAATCATTAACCTTAAATGAAAAAGCAGATGCGGAAGTAGGAGTAGGAAGCAAAGCTGGCCTAGCTGTTTCAGTTGCCTGCGGGATGACCGATGAATCACTATTTTTAAAAGGAAAGGAAGTATGGGTAGGGGTAGGAAGCAAAGCTGGTCTGGTTGTTGCCTCCATGGTCTGGGAAGTAGCAGGAGAGTCAGTTGCTTTGTATGTAAATGTAGTAGTAGTAGGGGTAGGAAGAAGAGCTGGTCTAGCAGTTTCTGTATTTTGAGAAGAGGGAACTGACTCTGTAACTTTAAATGTAAAAGAGGTAGGAGTGGGAAACAAAGTTGGCCTTGTTGTCTCCATGCTCTGGGAAGTGGTCGAAGAATCATCTGTTTTGGACTTGAAAGAACCAGATGAAGGAGTAGGAAGAAGAGCTGGCCTGATCCCTTCTGTCACCTGAGAACTGGAAAGCGATTCACTAACTTTAAAAGAAAAAGAATTAGAAGTGGGAAACAGAGTTGGTCTTGTTTCTGGGGTTTGGGTGCTCTTAGGTCCAGGTTCTTTTGAAACAGTCGTGTCAGATGCCCCTGGGCCAGCAGAAAACCCAGTAGTTGATGGAGGAAGTGTAACTGCAGGTAAAACAGGCAGGCTACTTTGCACTGTTTGAGAGTACGGAGAAAATGGAAGCGTATTCCCGGGACACTGAGTATTCAGGTTTTGAAAAGACTTCACCTTCTCCTGAAGGTGAGTGTAAGTGGCTTTCATTTGTCCCTGCCACATTTTCCACTGTTTCTCACACTCATGAAGCTGGTCTTTGTGAGGATAGGTCTGAAGTTGGTCCTGCCACTGCTGAAATTCACGTTCCCACTCTTTGTAAAGTGGCTGGAATTGCTTATTCTGAGTCTCATAATGCTGTAGCTGCACCTCTACTGTTGCGGTCTGTCAGGAAAAGAAAGCAATAATGAAGATACTGTGTGTTTGGATTTTTTTAAAAAAGTCCAGGATCTGTACTCACAGTTATTGTAATGTTATCAGCATATCATTTTAAACTTAAATAAAATTTCATACTTTCTACAATTTCATTAATTAGTTTAATCAACAATTTATTACTATTTTCTAGTAAAAAGTGTTTTAATTTACTTTTCCTTAGGAAGTGAGTGGTATTAGTATCAGTAATGCTACTTCTAAGATTGATGTATAGTTTCTAGAATAAGAACAAGAACATAACATTTCACTGTTAGGCAAAAATGTTGCCAGCATTCTCTAACATAAAAAGTACCAAAATTCAACTCCCATCCATTTCAGCCTGAAATAACCCTATTAGTGTAGGATTATGTGAACTGAGATCCAAGACACCCGAGGGGTGACAAATTGTGTCTTCCTAGACACAGGGAAAAAAAACTATGAAGAATAAGTAAATAACTATTATTCTGTATTTCATAATTAAAATATAATAACAATTTCACTCAAGAACCAGTTTGATATAGTGATTGAGGCATCAGACTAGAAACCGAGAGACTGTGAGTACTGCCTTAGGCACAAAGCCAGATGGGTGACGTTGGGCCAGTCATATTCTCTTTCAGCCTTAGAAAGCAGGCAGTGGCACCTCTGAAATGTTGTCAAGAAAACTGCCAGGTACTTTTCAGGCAGTTGCCAGGAGTCAACACTAACTCAAAGGGATAAAAACAAAAGCCAACAACTATTTTACTCAGTCGGAAGTAAGTAAAATGATATTGTTTTAAACAACTTACTGACAAATGTGATGGCTGCTGTATAATCTGTTGATAGCGTTGTAAAATTTGTTGCAACTGTGAATGCTTTTGCATTATTCTTTGATACTGGAAACCCACTCTTTGTTGTGGATGCTGCTGCCATTGTGTTGCTGCTGCCTGTAGCTGCTGTAATCTCAAGCTTTCTTCAGGATCTTCTGGAGGTTTAATGTTTAGCTAGAGTAGAAGGAATCAGTCATAATTTATTTCAATCAGTGATTAGAATTCTAAATAAAAGGAAACACCAGGATTAAAAAGATTTTAAAAATCGATGAAAGACTAATGTTAGTTACACCCTAGGTGTCATCCACAAATGTATCATTTCGTTGTTGCTTAACCTAGGTCATTTCCAATAATATGTAACGTATCATGGTGAGAACAGACATGATGGGGAACGATGCAAAGATAGGCCTTTCTCTTGATTTGGGAGGGGGAGTTTTGCAGACAATATTATTTTTAAACTCTGTTGAGACTATTATAGGACTCAGATTGTAGTTTTCTGTTCAATGTCTCGAAACTGTGAAAAATGTTACCATAAATCTCAGGGCAGGTTCAAGGAAGCCCAAAGGAGAAGACTGGCACTGTCAGTTGTCCACTCCTGCTGTACCTTTTGACCCCCAAGATTTACTAACCATGTTTCCATTAATAACAAATACATTTAAATATCTGAAATAAATAAAAGAGAGAAATCTTTATCAATGAACAGTATATATAGTGACACTTCTTTGAATAGCATACCTTATGTTCAACAGATGACCCAGGAGGCTCTCCATCATTTGGATGTGGTAACATGGGTTCATACTTCAAACTGGGTTCAGAAAGGCCACTAGAAACAGGTATTTCTCTTTCTTCTTTTCTCTGTTCAGGGGCATCATTAACAACAGGTGACTGTTGCTGTCCCAATGCATGTGCTTTTGCCCTTTGCTGAAGAGTAAGTAAATGCTGTTGATACCAATATTGCTGTTGTTCCTACAATAAGTAGGAGAAGTATAGTATTTTCATAGAGAAACAAAATATCCGAGAATCTGAAGAAAGCTACAGTATCTATTGTAAAATAGAGAATAAATTCATGTTTAACCGGGGCTGAACTGCCCACCAGATTCTTTTTCAGCACTAATGTAACTTTAAACGGTCACCTGAACGAATGATAGGTATGCAAGGATTGCCTGTAGAATTATATTAATAAAATCTTGCAAGTCTGAAAGTATATTTCTTTCCCTACCTCATTCCTTCTTAAAGCCCAAGAAACTAGGGCATCTTCTCCTTGCCTCCCAAGTTCATCCCTATAAATTATTGGGGAGTTTGCGCAAGGCATGGCTAAGCAGCATGGATACATGCTGTTTTGCTTAACAAAAATTTGCTTAGTGACAGAAATTCTGGTTCCAATTACGGTCATTAAGTGAGTACTACATGTATACAATTTCCTCAGCTATTAAGAGAATGGCTTTGCTTTCATAAAGCAGCTGAATGACTTAGAATGACTTCTAAGAATCAGTCTCTGCAAAATCTCTTAATTGCCTACTTCACAATTTTTACAGTATAAAATACTGTACAGTATAAATAAAAGTAATAGCTTATTTCAATGTATTTATTTATAAACAAACTTGTAGGGATGTCCTTCTATTAGAAGGAATTTTAGGCACTGAGTAAAACACAGTACACTAAAATAAAAAAACATTTAAAATAACAAATAATGAGCCTAAATAAAACTCAACATTTATCCATCAAACCCTCATGCCAGCTTCATTAACATTCTGACCCCAGTGTCTGATTTTCACTGGGAAAGCCAGATCTTTACTGGTTTCCTAAAAGGCAACAGATTTGGAGTTACCTGTATTTCTCAGAGGAGCTGTTCCACAAGACAAATACCATAATATAAAATATACAGTTCTGAGGCTCCACCAAGTGATAATTGTTTCACTGAGGGGATCCAAAGTCTGCCTATAATAGAGGGGTAAAAGCTCTTTGGGATAGGCAATCCCACAAGTAACCTGGTCCCATGTCATGTAGGACTTTGAAAGTGATACTGACATCTTGCATTGGACCCAAAGCGTACACAGCAACGATGTTACATGGGCACATATTTTTCAAGACAGACTGCATTGCAATAGTTTAATTGGGAGATGACTAATGCATGAGTGCATGAGTGAGTGTGAGCAAGGCCTCCTAAACTAGTAAAGTGCAAACTGGTGTATTTGTACAAAGGCCCTCCTGGCTACAAATGCTACCTCTCATCAAGATTGAGCCAATGGTTAGGAGTGTCATCCCAGCCAGAGTTAAAGATGGCAAACCAATAGACACAGGGGACCCTAAAACCCACAGCCTCCCATTTTTATCAGGGTTGAGCCAAAGCTGGTACTTCCACATCTAGGACCATTTAGCCTCCCGGGACTAGGAAAACCCCTTGATGGGATCACTTGAATGGCCTGGGGCAGTATTGTACAGCCGAGTATGATCATCATACTGATATTTCACTTAGCTCACTGATCAATGACCTAATTCAATGGTTTTATAAGAGTAGGGAAGGAGAGGCTCCCTGCTACCAATAACAAATGGAACTGGTCTTGGATGAAGAAGTACCATTGAATAATAATGCTTCTCACTCCCAACCTCTTCAGCTAGCCCAGAAGGTTAATATGATTGATGGCACTGATGGTGACTGAGAAATCAAACAACACTAGGATGGATATACTATTCCTATCCCAGTCTCATCAGAAGTCATCAACAAGTGCGATCAATGCCATTTGGGAACTGTACCCTGGCTTGAAATCTGACTGTAACAGGATTAATTCAAGAATAAACGATTAATTCATGAATCTATATTAATTCCAGGCATAAGCATGATTATTTACTATATTATTTACTATAATTACTAGCAACTATAACTGAATAACACTTATTTATTTATTTATTTATTAAAATTTATAGACCGCCCCACTCCTGCAGGACTCCGGGCGGCTAACAATAAAAACACAATATAACTTAACAAGACAAACAATACAGTAACATTCATCCAGGGGTCAGATTTTATAAACCCCAGGCCTGCCGGAAAAGCCAGGTCTTAAGCAGCTTGCGGAAAACCAACAGGGTGGGAGCGGTCCTAATCTCCGGGGGGGAGCTGGTTCCAAGACGTGGGGGCCATCACAGAGAAAGCCCTCCCCCGCGGCCCCGAGGTCCAGCCTGTGGGATCTAACTGGACGAAGGGAACTATGAGGTAGTAGGTGGTCTCGCAAATAGCCTGGCCCTGAGCCATATAGAGCTTTAAAGGTAATAACCAACACCTTGAATTGGACCCGGAGACCAATAGGCAACCAGTGCACCTCGCGGAGGATAGGTGTAACGTGGGTGTACCGAGGAACACCCACTATCACTCGCGTGGCTGCATTCTGGACCAACTGTAGTCTCTGAATACCTTTTAAGGATAGCCCCATGTAGAGCGCATTGTAGTAGTCCAGGCTGTGGATCAAGGAGGACACCCAAGTTGCGAACCCGCTCCGAAGGGGGTATATTTTCCCCTGCTAGAGTCAACACTGGACAGTTAACATGATCCTTGGGAGGCAACATCCAAAGCCACTCAGTCTTGTCAGGATTGAGCCTGAGTCTGTTAACCCCCATCCAGACCCTCACGGCTTCAAGGCAACAGCCCATCACATCAGCCACTTCACTGAGAGAACTCGGGGAAGAGATATATAGCTGGGTATCATCAGCATACTGATGAAATCTCACCCCGTGCTGTCTGATGATCTCACCCAGCGGCTTCATGTAAATGTTAAATAGGAGGGGGGAGAGGACCGACCCCTGCGGCACCCTGCATTCAAGGGGCCTCGGGGTTGACCTCTGCCCCCCCACCAGTACTGATTGCGACCAGCCAGAGAGGTAGGAGGAGATCCACCGTAAAACGGTGCCTCCCACTCCCACCCCTCCAAGTTGTCGCAAAAGGATACCATGATCGATGGTATCAAAAGCCGCGGAGAAGTCAAGTAGCACCAAGACAGAGGAATAACCCCTGTCTCGGGCCCGCCAGAGATCATCCATCAGCGCGACCAAAGCAGTTTCTGTGCTGAAGCCGGGCCTGAAGCCAGATTGAAAAGGGTCTAGGTAATCCGCTTCATCCAGAGACCATCGGAGCTGGAGCATCACCACTCTCTACAACCTTTCCCAAAAAGGGGAGATTGGAGACTGGACGGAAGTTATTTAAATCAGCCGGGTCTAGGGTAGGCTTCTTGAGAAGAGGCCTCACAACCGCTTCCTTCAAGGGTTGCGGGAAGGACCCCTCCCTCAACGAAGCGTTGATCAACACCTGGAGGCAGCCTCGTGTCACTTATTGGACACGGGTCCAATAAACAAGTGGAGGCGCTCATCGCTCCCACCGCTCTGTCAACATCCTCAGCGGTCACCAACTCAAATTCATCCCATAAAACTGGGCTAAGACCTGCCCCGGTCATCTCAGAAGGACCTGCCCAATCAGAGTCTAGGTCTGTCCAAATCCGAGCGATTTTATCTGATAGAAACTGCACAAATTCTTCCGCCCTACCCTGCAAGGGCTCCCCGGCTTCCCGAACGTTAAGTAGGGAACGGGTCACCCTAAACAGGGCGGCAGGGCGAGATTCTGCAGACGCAATAAGTGCGGAAAAATGCGAAGATTTTGCTGCTCGTATCGCCACTAAGTAAGTCCTAATATAGGCTCTTAAAAGTGTCCGGTCGGGTTTGGAGTTACTAGCCCTCCAGCGTTGCTTTAGACATCTCTTCTGACGCTTCATCTCCCGTAGCTCCTCGGTAAACCAAGGTGCCCTCCGGGATCCACAATCACAGAGAGGTCGCAAAGGCGCGATCCGGTCTAATGCCCCTGATGCCGCCTTATTCCAAGCAGCAATCAAGGACTCAGCCAGTTCGTGGAGGAGGGAATCAGGAAAACCCCCAAGCGCTATTCGGAACCCCTCCGGGTCCATTAAATGCCTGGGGCGGAACCACCTAACCACCTAAACACTTAGCTAGTATAAAAATAATTTTTCATTCTACTGTTCTCTTTCAAGATAGTTACAAGGTGACTTTCAATAATGTATTAGATTAGAATTTATCAAAAAATAATGAAGAAAATAAAATTAGTAAGCTAATTCCTCAATACTTGTTGAAGAGTCCCTGTATACCGAATGTGTATGAGACTCTTTAGAGCAGCGTCCCTCAACCTTTCTGGCTTTCTGGACTGGCATCGGTGGCATCAGTGGGGGGGGGGATGGTTCCGCGTGAATGCAGGCACAGATGCTTGTCCACCACTCATGCAAGAGGAGCTGTGCATGCATGCACACACTTGCCTGCCTCTTGTGTGGTCTGGTTCAGAATGGGCCGCAGCCTGGTAAACAGTTACGGCCTGGGGGTTGGGGACCCCTCCTTTAGAGTAAATTGATTTCTAATACAAAATAACTGATTATATTGCTTTCAAGGCTAAATTCTATAAACCCAGCCAAAATCCCACAGAACACCTTAGTTGTTTACATACATACATACATACACACACAAACATTATATTTGAGATGTATTTTGAATATTAATAGCTCGGGTTGGTAGCTGAGCTGTTGGATTGATCTCTGGGCTTGGTAATTAGGTTGCAAACGTTTTGTCTCCGTTTGGGGGGACATCTTCAAAAAAAAGGGGTGATATCTTCAAAAAGCTATCAATCAGACTGCATGAACACTCCCTGACTATCAAAAGACACGACCCATTGTCCCTCATGTCCGTCCACGAGGACTCAGAAGGACACAAGTTTGATCTAACCGGGACCACAATTATAACCCAAGCAAAGTCAAGGAGAGAAAGAGAATTCCTCGAGACTTGGTTCTCCAGCAACCAATCAGTGAACAGACACATTGACATTGACCCCACCTACCAACAACTGAGAGCGAGAGAGCTACTTCAACTGAAAGCAACATCCCAAACAAACACAATTCAAACTGCACTGAAGATGTCCCCCCCCCCCCCATGGAGATGAAACATTTGCAACCTAATTACCAAGCGTTGTTTGGGTAGAAAAGAGGCAGTATTTCTGTTTACAGATGATGTTATTTTGCTAGAGGAGAATCCAAGTACCTTTCAATGTATGTTGGACTAGATGAGGGGTAGGCAACCTTAGTTCTTTTATGACTTGTGGACTTCAATTACCAGAATTCTGGGAATTTGAAGTCCACGAGTCATAAAAGAGCCAAGGTTGCCTACCCCTGGACTAGATGATATACAAATAACACAGAGCTGCAAATTAATGTATTAAAGACCAAGGCAATTGTGTGTGACATAGAAAATGGAGTAAATTATATACGTTGGTAGAATGCTTACTCAATGTTGAAAATGGAGGAGGCATTTGAGACATGGAAATGGTGTAAAGGAAATGAAAAGTAAATAATCTGTTGTAGAGGATAAACGTTTGTCAAACAAAGCTAAATAGCTATGTACAAGTTGTATGGTTCTGCCACTTTGTGACATACAAGCAAGAATTGGATATATGTGAAGAAACATCAATGTAAGTTGACTGTAGCCAAATAGCTACTAAAGAGGTATGTGTACTAAACAAAACAAAAAAAATAGGGTTAAGAATTAATGAGTGTTCAATAAAACATGGATTGAATATCAGAGTGGCAAGTACAAAAGAAATATATTGAAACATTTTGGATGAAAGCGAGAGAATGAAAGAGGAGAAAATTGCAAAATAAATATATGAAGGAAGAGCGATCAAGAAAGTACTGGAACTTGTGCTTGGATGGAATTGATGAACCCTCAGAAGTCATGTTTAAAAATGAAAAGGCAAAGTATGAAGCAGTTCATGAAGATAGGATGGTTTGCAAGTATAGAATAGAGATGTACTGAACCTTATCTGTATAAACTATGTTAAACTGTATTTCCTTTTCTTTATGCCCTGAATTCTTTAGTTTATTATTTTGTAATTATTTGTATAGTGTTGTTTTAAAAGAAATATTATGGAAATTTTATTTATCAAAATAGCATTCAGCACATAGCATGCCACATTTTTTAATAAAAAATAAGTTTGGGCTAGTAGTTAAGCCATCAGGCTTGAAACCAGGAAATTGTGAGTTCTAATTCTGCTCTTTGAGCTTGTTTTCTTACAGATTTTCATTAACCTAACTAGGTAACATCATCACTAGCACTGATGTTACCTAATTAGGATAATGAAACATCTGCAAGAAAACAAGCAAGCTCAGAGAGCACTAAGGACCATTCATTTCAACTCTGAGCTACAAATATTCTCCTTCACTGGTTCTAATTCTGCGTTAGGCATGAAAGTAACTAGGTAACATCATCACTAGCACTGATGTTACCTAATTAGGATAATGAAACATCTGCAAGAAAACAAGCAAGCTCAGAGAGCACTAAGGACCATTCATTTCAACTCTGAGCTACAAATATTCTCCTTCACTGGTTCTAATTCTGCGTTAGGCATGAAAGTAACTAGGTAACATCATCACTAGCACTGATGTTACCTAATTAGGATAATGAAACATCTGCAAGAAAACAAGCAAGCTCAGAGAGCACTAAGGACCATTCATTTCAACTCTGAGCTACAAATATTCTCCAAAAATAAAGTCTGAGGTATTCATTGTGCAACAACCCTCCCGTCCCCAAAGATAGCACAGATTATGTCAGCTATCATTATTATAGGTTATTCCAAAATTGAGACCATGCTATTGAAAAGGTCTTAGTAACCACTGAGCAAATAGTATACCCAAAAGAAGAGAATATATGTACCTCAGTGTTGAATTCTTGGTTTCCTAGTTTGGTTGTTACTTGCAGATGTTTTATCAGTGCCTTGATTGTAGGGCATTGATCAGTGACATCACAGCACTGTAATAATTAGTGCCCCTAAAGCCCTGATTTTATCTAGATGGATAATTAAATGTTTGCAAGTAAAACAAGCAAGTTAGGGTGCACCAAGGACTCCACAAATAGCAAATTTATGGACTATCATTTAAGCATTGAATGCCTTCTTCCCATTTATAATAAAAGTCACTAACATTTTGTCCTACTACTATATATACACATTTCATAGTTAGAACACTTAATTGAATAAGAAAAAAACTTTTGTAGTCCAGAGACAAATTGCAATTGTTACTTCATTCTTACCTGGGGGGTCATTGTGGATAGATCTGCATGTGAGCTGCTTTGCTGTTGCTCACACTCTTTCTCTGGGCCACTGCTCAGTCTTAATTCTGGTGGTTCAGAAGTGGTCTGAGTAATCTGAGATGAAGTGAAGTGGGATTCAGGCTGGGAGGCTGATGTTGCAAGAGGCTGGCCCAGCTGGGAGGATGACTGGTAGTTGGGTTGATAAGTTTGGGACTGGGTTGGGTAAGACTGAGAAACAGCTGAAGATGGGTCTGAAAATGCCTTGGGAACTGCCTGAGACACGGGCAAATGGGACTGGTAAGGCTGTGGTGGTGGGATCTGACTCTGTGCTGGCAGAGGCTGAGGTGGGGGTACATAGGGATCAACTTCTAACTGGGGCACGAAAGACTGGGAAGGTGATTGTGGTGGTGAAGACAGATCCATGTCCATATCCATGCGAGGACTGGCCGAAGAAACCAGGGGCTCCCACTCATTGCGGGGCTGCGACGACTCGGCAACCTCATTTGTAGACGAAAGCGGCGGCATCGGGGGATTTCGGAACTGTGATTCCCGAGGCAAAGGCGGAGGAAGGGAATCGCGGTGTTTGAATTGTTTCTGATAGCTGCGCGCGGGCGGCGGCCCGATGGGCACCGGCGGCTGCCAGGAAATACTGGCGATAGAGGAACTGGGCAGAGGCGGTGGCATATTCGGGGGAGGCGGGCCGGGTGGAGGCCCCCCACCTAACAACACCGTTTGCAGCTGCTTCTGGTGCATTTGCTGGAGCTGTTGCAGCTGGACCAGGTGCTGTTCCCGTAGACTCAGAAATCCCCCGGTGCCGGTAGCGGCAGTATTCGCCGAACTGGTCGCGTAACTACCTAAAACAGGCGGCGGGACTACCGGGACCTGAGGCGGCGGCATGGCGGTAGGCAGCACGCCCGGTAAAGGTGGCGGCGGCAACAGCATTGTAGGGGGCGGAGGATAGGGCCCTGGGGTTGCCCCATACAGACCCCACGTCGGGAACATTGAGCCGAGAAACGGGTCTCCGAAGGCGTCGGCTGGGAAAATCGCAGGCCTCCGCAGGCCGCAATAGCGACGGAGTGCGCGCGCTCCTCTGCGCCTGCGTACCAAAATGCCTAACGCCCTCGAGTCATAGAGATGTGACTTCCTTTAAGCAAGAGTGTTTCCGGCTCAGCACTCAGCTAAGAGAATGATGAAAGTACGGCATTGGTGCTTGTGATTGACTTCCGGCCAAATGCATTGAGGCGGGATTCTATCTCAAAAGAAACCGAGTAAATTAATTTCGCTCAAATAATAAACGCTTCATATGAAGTTTTTTCAGGTCTGAGGCATGCCTTTAAATTTCCCCAACGAAGTTATAAGCATGTTGAAAACTTGTTCTGTAAAATGCTGACTAAAACCTGCTTGGATTAAGGGTGCACGTGGTCCGGCCTCTTGTTCTCTAGTTGCTCAATACTAGCCTAATCCCTCAGTGAATATTCTAGTATTTCTTTGTTATGGTTCTTACCATATACACCGATACTGGATGCAGTACATGCTTATTTAACAAAGATCCTAAATTATTCTTTGCTTGCTGCTACATTTACAGGCAAAGATGGTTTCCATTTGAGCAGGACAATTAAGCCCAATTTCTTGGCATAATCTTGATTTAGATAAGGAGTGGAGGTCACCAGATTGGAAAATATTGTCGTCTCTTTTTTCCCAATTTAAATCAGGTTTACTACTACTTGGCTGTTTATTTCATGCTGAGGCAGAAATTTTCAGTAACTTATCAAAAACTATTTTGGTATTTTGCAACTTTTTCCTCCAACTGTACAGTATCTCAAAACATTGGTGGTTGTTGGAAGACACTGCAAATCACCTACAGAATTATTAAGCAGAAATCCTGGGAAATCTGGAATCTTGCATTGCTCAAAATTCAATAGATTGATGACATCATTTAAGACCATTAATTTAGTTTGGAGACAATTTTCTGGCAGCTATCTTTAATTTTAGATTCCATCATGTAATGTTCCATCTCTTGCTAAGAGAGCTGAGGAAGGAAAAAATAATATATAGATACCTTGTAATGTGAAAAAAGAATATGATGTGAGAAGTCATCTTTAATCCATAGTTTTGAAATGCTGAAGATGGTTTTCAGAGAAACAAATTCTTTAATTGCGTTTGCATGCAGGCCTGATCTTATAACAAAACTGCTTTCTTTAGCAACTACAATTTAATTCCGTTTATCCCCCCCCTTTTCTATTTTCATCACAGAAACATATTCTTAAACAAAATCTAAACTGTTCAGTTTTACTGAATTATCCTGGTATTTAGTATTATGAATGAAAAAAAAGTGGCTCCATTAATTATCTGTACAATTTTATACTATCATTTAAGATTTTCTAAAATATAAACACTTTGTTATAGGATAAATGCCCTTGTAATTATTTTATATTTCTATAATATTTCAAAGTGTCACTTTTAAAAGCTTTTTTCTTTAGAAGATTCCTGTGTTGAACACAACCATCTTAGGTTTGAAAAATTTTATTTACATACAGATTAAATTGGCTTCATGTCAGTTAGAATTAATGCCAGGATCAACGTTTCTAATTTTCCACTTATATTAAATAATCATATATGTATGGAATAGAGGTTTCTTTGTACAAATTTCAAAATATTGAGTGTTTTGATAATTTTAAGAAAGTGTCTGATTTTTTGCATCAATCCTGTTGAAACACTCACTTCACAGTTCATATATGAATATTAAACATTTGTAAAATGGCTGTATCATGAGAAAATTTCTTAATAGTAAAGAAGAAATTCTCAGAAGCTTATTTACAAGTAATGTTTATTCTAGATCCAGAATATGGAATAGAATGTCCATTTTATCTGGAAGAGACTTGTCTAATTAATTAGTTCAAATTCCAAGCACCATAAGAAATAAACCCAGATTGGAAGTACATTATAACTGGCTCAGTGTTCTGGAATTCAACATAGCACTTTTTTTATCATATTTAAAATCGAGGAGCTCCATAATCATCAGGCATCCGCTCAATGTTATACCTAAAATTAAAGAGAAAAATGGAAAAATTATGAAGTCCACTATATTTTCCTTGATGTACTAAGCCAGTACAAATTTAGAATCTTAGAAGCACTTATTATCATTATGCAATTAAGAACAGCAGTTCAAGGTACTGCACATTCAGGCTAAGCAAGTGGAAGAAGCAACATATTACTAAAGGAAAAATTACAAATTATAAAAGAGTATTATATACTATTACTTATTCCATGCCATCAGATATCCTGAGTTACTGAATCAGGCAGCACACAAATTTAATAAATATATGAACATACATTTATTTAAATTAGTAATACAGAAATATAAAATAAGGGCGTGAAATGAAGTTGATCAGTGTGTATATGTATGTGTGTGTACATGGGCTAGTTTCATAGTTTTCTAAGTTAATGTACAAATGTAATTATATTGTGACTTTGATTACTATTTAACTTCTAGTTTTATGTCATCTAAGCAGAATGTTTCTGACATAAGAGGCTGTGTATGCAGTTGGACCATAAAGTTCATGTACACAAGTAATCCTGCGCATAACCATATCTGAGTTTGCTTTACATTGATTCACTGTCTACAAATGTCTTTGTGTGTGTATTACATAAATATGCACATGCTCTTGAAAGTTCAGATTATTATAAAGCAACATCATAAACTACATTTTATTTGGGCAGATAATGCTTTCTGACATACCTGTGATTAGATATATACATTATTGGGACTCCTGGGATCTTTCGTATTCTTCGCTTCAGGTCTCTGTCTACAGTAGCCACTATGTAACATTTGTGCTATAGGAGAAAGACAATCTGGTTAAAAGAACACCAAATTAAGTAATTTTCATATTTTAAGCAAACTTCAAGAGCTACGATGAATTATTTAAACTATTTGTATGTCACATGGCCTTCTCTGATATGTGAAATATTAACTAAAGTCAATACCCAATTGAATATTAACTTCTCTTGGGTACACTGTAATGAAAACAAATTATTTTTTTAATAAAAGTTTTATTAATTTTTTTAAAATTACAGTCTTTAGTGCTTAGTAAACAACATGTTGTCTGAGTTCAAATATTTAACATTAACTTTTTCAATATAAATCTGTTCAATATTACACAATCCAGTATTTTTTCTGATCCTTCTTTTTTCTTCATATTTTTTTCCATTTTCCCTTCATTACACCATTACAATTTTTGGTACTTTTAACGTATACAAAGTTAGATATAAGCATCTTCATCATATTTTACTAATATACAAATAACAATAATATCAATTCATAAGTCAATAATGTCAATTCATTAATATACTGTTTTTCATACTCTTGTTAGAGTTTGATTTTCCATCAGTATTTGAAATATATCAATTATAATTTCCTCAATATTAATTACATTTATATAGCTGAAAGTTTTATTCAAATCAATCCCCCTCCTATCTTAATATTTCCCATATCAAAAAAGAAAAAAAATGCTATCTTAATTCTAAATCATATGTTTCACTGTAAAAGTCTAATTATATCTAAAAGTCTTTCATTCTTTTAATCTTATTCAAAAAAGTATTTAAACATATAATGCCCCTCTAGAAGGTCAAGATTTCTGTTTTTAAAATCTGGCTCTCACTTTCTTTCTTTGCCAAGGTGCTTTGCAAGCCAGGGCAATTAGATTGCCCAGGAATTTTCTTTCTATTTTTGTGAAAACTGCTTGGCATGAGGAAAACAATTTGGGTAAGGTATTTTTTTGTGTGTGTGTGGGGGGAAATTCCACCATTTATATTCCTTAAACAACTCCCAGTTCTCTTCTCCCCCCATTTCTCTTGTCATTTCCTGTCTCTCAAGTTGTGACATTTCCCTTAACAGCTCTATATTCCTATATTCCCTATAACAATGAAAATGCAAAAGACCTTTTACCTCTTAGATCTGCAAAATATATCTGATGGCAAAGAAAAAGATTGTAATGAACACAAATTAAAGAGCTCTTCTGTCAACAGAATAGCAAGAGAAGTTCATAGAACAGGAAATACCTGGGTGACCCTCTGTACCAAGCAGTCATCTGCATAGGTTCCTTTGTGAGTACAAGGCAAGCGCTCAAATCGTGGATCTTTTGCTATCCTGTAGAGTTATAACAGAAAAAAATAGAATAGTTTTTATGAAAAACAAACTTTGTAAAAAATCACATTTTTGTCTTTAATTAAATGGGCTCTTTGCTGCTATACATTCATCAGGAAAATAGGAATTCTGAGGAATATAATTTGATTTTTTTCTTCTGATAAATCATGAGGTTCATGAACAAGGTATAAAAAAGCTTAATTCATCTATTTTCTGTAACGCAATAGTGCCAAACTAAGAAAAAGGCTTCCAACTTTTTGTCATATCTCCTGGGGTCCTGGAAGAATTAAGGAAATAATTAAGGGGGAAAATGCCAATTTCTGGTTTAGTATTATATAATTTGAAGATGGAAACTTACTGCTGCCCGTTTTCTCATGAGACATTCAAGATACTTTTCTATGAAGAGAGTGCATGCTTTGAAAATAATTAGGAAAAAGTGCTTTAGAATTCATATAAGCACAACACCTCTCTGCCATTTATTTTCAAGAAAAGCACAGTCCTATTTTCTTCCAATTTAAAGATGGGGAACTCATCAAATTTGCAGATGGCATCAAGCTGGCAGGAATAGCCAATATTCCAGAAGATAGGTTTAAGATACAGAAGGATCTTGACAGACTTGAACATTGGGTACTAGCTAACAAAATGAAAATCAATGGTGAAAAAAGTAAGGTTCTATATTTAGGCAAGAAAAATCAAATACACAGGTATAGTATACATATGGTACCTAGCTCAATAGTAGTAACTGTTCTTGGAGTCCTAGTGGACAATCACTTAAATATGAGTCAGCAGTGTGCTATAGCTGCCAAAAAAGCCAATGTGGTGTTAGGCTGCATTAACAGGGATAGAATCAAAATCACGTGAAGCGTTAATACCACTTTACAATGCCTTGGTAAATACTTGGAATATGGCATCCAGTTTTGGTCACCACGATGTAAAAAAGATGTTGAGACTCTAGAAAGAGTGCAGAAAAAAGCAACAAAGATGATCAGGGGGCTGGAGGCTAAAGCATATAAAGAACGGCTGCTGGAATTGGGTATGTCTAGTTTAATGAAGAGAAGGGTGAGGGGGGACATGATAGCAGTGTTCCAATATCTCAGGGGCTGCCACAAAGAAGAGGGAGTCGAGCTAGTCTCCAAAGTGCCTGAAGGCAGGACAAGAAGCAATGGATGGAAACTAACCAAAGAGAGAAGCAACCTAGAACTAAGGAGAAACTTCCTGACAGTTAGAATAATTAACCAGTGGAACAACCTGCCTCCAGAAGCTGTGAATACCCCAACACTGGAAGTTTTTAAGAAAAGATTGGACAATCATTTGTTTGAAATGGTATAGGGTTTCCTGCCTGAGCAGGGGGTTGGACTAGAAGACCTCCAAGGTCCCTTCCAACTCGGTTATTCTGTATATTTTGAATGCTCTCCTGTTTCTCTGTGCACCAGAAAAAATTGGGAGAACTTTTTCCAAAGGTATGAATATTTCAAATGTAGCTGAAAGCAGAACTGAGCCTCTTTACTACAGGAATTTAGGAAGATCTACTCCCTTGGCTTATTCTCTTTAAGAACTTTCTGATGTTGGAATCCATGGGAAAAGAAAGTGATGGAAAAAATATTAAAACATAATGGAGTATAGGATTTATATTCTAAACAAATTATGAATCTTTATTCTTCATATTTTTACTTTAGATAAATTGTATCAAAGAACAGAGCCAAATTATTACACTATTACCTTAAAGCTACACGATACTTCTGTCCCAGTTTCTCAATTTCAGCCATGACACAATCTGTGATACAAGGAATGCCTGCAGAAATGTACATGTTATAACTATCTAGCACTGAAACAAAATTTTACATATGATGCAGTTAAACTTCTATGTATAGTTTATTGTTTTTATAATACTTTCAGTAAGCATTTTAATGAAAAGGAAAAGAGAAAAGATATATACACAGACCCAAACATAAAAAAACAGCAATAAAGAAAAGTACATAGATAAATGAGAGATTTATAATTATTTATAACTATAACTATTATAGAATTAGGTTAAAAATGAAAACTTTTTATTAATTTTATTAGTAACTAATTTTGTTAGTAGTGCTTGAATTGTTAATTTGATAATACTATCCTCCATTGTACACAACTATACAATTCAGTATAATTAGATAGAAAAAACTGATACTTAAATGATATATAAACATTCAAATAGTACAGTCTAGAGACAAAAGGGCATAAAAAAGCCTTACAACCACATTCTGTATTTATATTTAAGTTTTAAAAGAACCTTTTAAAATAGTCATTCTTAATGCTAGAAAAGTCCAGACGTCTTAAATTTTATTTGAAAGCTCAAAATTTCTAATAGACATTTCTTTTGTTGAAGCTCCCTATTATGATTACAAAAATCTTGTAAAATGTACATGTGATTTAATATAGAGAACACAAATAAAAAATTCTGGGCAAATACAACAGTCTCAGATATACTAATGAGTGGAAACAAGGATCTCTTAAGGAATCTCTTGCTGAATATGAATGTAAGAAGTTGGTTTGCTTATTATTAAAAAAAATATGTCAAGAAATTATGCCAACCAACTGCAAGTAGATAAACATTAAGAATTGAAGAAATAGAACAGAATTTTATCTCTCTAGGCGCCAAACATTCCAGAGATGCAGCCATTAAATAAAACAACTCTCTACTATGAGAGATATAGACAAAAGAATTACATTTGGTTCCCAGTTGTAGTATATGATTATGAAAGCTCCAATCAGAAATGCTAAATGAAGAAAAGGGTTCAGGGCACGAAGAAAATCATTGAGAATATGCACTACAAGATGAATATTAAACATATAATCTAAAACCAGTCTGTTCACTGACAACATCAATAAATAATCTAAAATTTAAATATTTGGAGTAAATAATTCAAGAGCAAGAGGGACCAAAGAAGTTCCTGCACTTGGAAAAATCAAAGGTAATTGGCAAAATGGGTGGCTAGATGGGATCAGTGATGACAGAAGTTTGAGCTTACAAGAACTGAAAGAAGCAATTACATACATACTATACAGCAGGGGTCCCCAACCCCCAGTCCATGGACCAGTACCGGTCTGCAGCATGCCAGCAACCGGTCCGCACAAACAAAGCCCCTTCTGCGGGATGCAGACAGCACACAAAACCACACACCCTCCAATCTGTGGAAAAACTTCTCCATGGAACCGGTCCCTGGTGCCCAAAAGATTGGGGACCTCTGCTGTATAGTCCTGGGAAAATAATATCCACATTGTCATGAAGAATCAGGATTGAATGAATAACAAAACAGTTTTGTTTACCAGCTATTTACCAGTTCTGTTTACCAATTAAAAATAACTAATTATTTTATAACATCTTGCTAGTTGGCTGCCCTTTCTTTTCTTTTTTTTTTTTTTAAAAAAAAATCAGGATATTTTATAATACTCAAGTCTAATTATTTTAGGAAACATGGAAATATTTGCAAATATTAATATAAATATAAAACTACTAGTAAAAATCCATGTAAATCTTAACAAATGATATAGATCTGGATACTTACATTTGGCATAGAGGCAATCCATCATTGATTGTACTAGATCCAATTTGGCTTTAATGGAAAAATTAATAAAATTGGTATCTACTAAGATATAATATGGAGGTCCTAGTTGTGTGTTATATTGGAAGAATAAGCATGAAGGATATTTGGGGCTGAAAAAGAGAAACACTGATTTTATTACTTTTTCATATAAAACAAATACCCTATTAGGGTAAACCAAAGAGTAATATTGATCAAGTGGGGTTTTTTTTTGCATGTTCACATTATCTATCATTGCAGTATTCTAACTGGATGTTTTTTTAAGCACAATTACTGTATAATATCAGACTTCAATGTAGTATTAAAATGCTACAGAATGTGGTCTCTAGTTTTCTTCACTAAGTCCTGTGGTCACATGATGTTTCGCCTAACAACCACATCACTTGGCGACAGAAATTCCAGTCCCAATTGTAGTCATAAGTCTACGACTACTTATAGTGATTAAAAAAGGTAAGGCTTTTGCAACCTTTATGTTCATCACAGCCCAGATTGTAATTATATGAAATCCATGACTCCCAGCCACTTGACTCGTAAGTCAATCACAAAAGCCACGATTTCTGTGGTCTCCTCACAAGAAGCAGCTGTCTCCTGATCTCATGGTCTCTCCTTGTTTAGAGGGACTTTTCTGACCAGAATTTGCAGTCTGGCCAATCTCTGCTGCAGTGCCATCCCAGCTCCTTCAGAGTCATCTAGCTCACCATTTAGATCTCACTTGAAAGAATAATGAAAGAATATTTTTTTTCTTACGATGCACAATATGGATGGCTGCTCAAACCATCCCAACCTATCTATTTTTAAGCACTTTTACTTAACAATATCTATTTGCTATTTCTAATACTTTGCAAGGCTTGGTACACTGCACTGTTTGCTTTGGACAGCGTATTTCATTGGTGATGGTTTCTTTTCTTTTTCCTTCATTTCTGTCAAATTCTCAGAGACTATCTGGACATATCCCTGCAATTTTCTTCGGAGGTTTTTTAGAAGTTTGCCATTGTTTCTTTCCTAGGGCTGAGAGAAAATGACTGGCCCAAGGTCAATCAGCTGCCTGAGGTGAGATTAAAACTCTTGGTCTTCCAGATTCTAGCTTGCTGCATTAATCATTACACCGAACTGGGTCTCATTTAGTTCTTAACTATGACTAAATTATAATATAGTTCTTAGCTACAGGGTACCCCAATTCATTGTATGAACTAAACTATTACATACATTGATCTATGATCTATAGAGTTGTATGAATGGTTCATGCATTGGAATGGGAATTAGACTAATTAATCTTGCAGCGTAGTCCTTTATGTGAAAGAATGTTGTGCTAGATCTAAGCTGTGTATCATTAATTCTTTAAAACAGTGGTCCCCAACTTTTTGGGCAACAGGGACCAATTCCATGAAGAGAGGTTTTTCTGTGGACCGGAGGGGGTGTGGTTTTGCATGCTGCCTGCATCCCACAGATGGGGCTTTGCTTGTTTGCTCGGCCCAGTTGCTGGCGTGACGCGGACTGCTGCTGCTCCATGGACTAGGGGTTGGGGATCCCTGCTTTAAAATATACTAATGAGTTTGAAATACTGTATTACTGCCAAAATTGCACAGAAAATTGTTTGAACTTAGATCTTAATATATCTCATAAAACCTCTTTGATCAGTCAATAAAGGTAGGAATCATTAAGTACTCACACTTCTGTCTCCTTGATTGCACTGAGATCTTCTTTCTTCTTTTCTTTAGGTTTTGCTCTGTCTTTCTCTTTACTAAAATATCAAAAGATTTATAAATACACACTATTTTTTAAAAATTAACTGAATTACTCAAAGGCAAAATTTGGGAAGAAATAGAATCATACATATAATTAGTATAAAACTTTGAGTATTTTGTATTAAATGCTTCAACAATTGTCACCATTAAGTGATAACAAAAAACTCACATGCGCTGATCACGAAGGCTGATCATGCGTTTCATGGCAGCATATTTCCTTGCTTTCTTCTGTTTCCCCTAGAAAGAAAAAGTTAATGATAAATTAATATTGTGAAGAAATGATGAAAAGTCTTCACTACTGTTACAATACAAAGCTTAATTTCTCAGATTGATTCCAAAAGTCAAGCTTTTACCCAGAAGATTAAATGTGGATTCTCATTCCATTCTTCAATTTCATAGTAAATGAATTCTTTTGAAATAGTATTCAAAATGGTTTTAAGATTGACAGAGTACAATATGAGTGCTATTATGACAAATATGAATTATGTTATTTCAAAATAATGTTATTTTATTTTAAGACATGGAAATTAAAGACACGATAAGATGGGAGAAATTAAAACTGTCATTTTCTGTGATAAAAATGAATGCTTGCTAGAATGTAATTTGTTTCAAACAGTACTTGTTTTGACAACTGATGTGCAATTCAAACAATATATCTGTTTGTATGGCAAGAGGAAAAGCCAACAGTTAAATATAAAGTGTTACAAGATGCAAAGGAAAGAGGAAGGTTGAAATTGTATTTGTGGTTTGGTTTGGATAAAAGAATGGGTATAGTTGAGAAACAAGAGATTTTTAGAGTTAGAAGACTACAACCTGATGTTTGGATAGCATGGATACTTTTGGTGATAAAACTGAAATTAATGTGCATTTTAAAAATCATTTTATTAGCTGTGTCACATTGAGAAACCTAAGCTATGCCTGAAAATATTTTTATTCCTCTTAGCATAAAAAGCATTTAAGGCAAGAAATAATAGGCAAAGATAAATGTTATTGTGAGATACTAGAATTTTATCAAGGGGAATGGTCATAGTTGTCAATGTTTTTCTTATTTACAGTTATCAGAAATATTCAAAATGAATAAAAACACTTACGGTATAGAGCAACGTAACACAAAATTTAAAGTACAATTGTGTACAGATGATGATGAACATGTAATTGCTAAACTATAAACTTTTGTTGAATTTTGAAATGGGAGGAATAAATCAAGCATATGATAAAGTAGGCTAAGAATTTTAGTTATAATATACAGAGGAATCAGTGAGAAATTATGTAGTTAAAAGAGTTGAAATTTACATTATGTTATGATCTTAAACAGAATTTTTGTAAAATTATTATCAATGGCATATGACACAAGAGAAATTGTTTAAAATGTATAAATGGATTTTAAATGTATGCTTAAATTGTGATCATGAAAGAACATTTTATCATGCTTTGTGGACATGTAAAAAAAGCTAAAAAAATTCAAATACAATATGAATCCTTGACGTATGACCACAATTGAGCCCAAAATCTCTGTTGATAAGTAAGATAGATGTTCTCTCTAATATACCAATGACTGCCTCTCAAAAGAGCCCTCTGTTAAAGTACTGAAGTTTATAGATCATACTGCAGAAGATAGGCTTAAGATACAGGAGATCTGGACAGACTTGAACACTGGGCACTATCTAACAAAATGAAATTCAATGGTGAAAAAAGTAAGGTTCTACATTTAGGCAAGAAAAACCAAATGTACAGGTATAGTATAGGGGGTACCTTGCTCAATAGTAGTAACTGTGAGAGGGATCTCGGAGTCTAGTGGACAATCACTTAAATATGAGCCAGCAGTGTGCTGCAGCTGCCAAAAAAGCCAACACAGTGCTGGGCTGCATTAACAGAGGGATAGAATCAAGATCACGTGAAGTATTAATACCACTTTACAATGACTTGGTAAGGCCACACTTGGAATACTGCATCCAGTTTTGGTCACCATGATGTAAAAAAGATGTTGAGACTCTAGAACAGTGGTTCTCAACCTGTGGGCCGGGACCCCATTTGGGGTCGAACGACCATTTCACGGGGGTTGCCAAACAACGCAGTCCGCCATTTTTTTCCCCTTTTCCTTAGCTGTGCTACTCCCTTTTATTCTATTGGCTTTTGAAAGCCAATAGAATAGACTCTCTTGAATAGAGTCTAATTCCATTGGCTTTCAAAAGCCAATAGGAATTGTCCAGGCTGTCTCTGCCCTGCTGAGCCCGCCAAAAGTCCCATTCTGCAAACGGTGCTGCACCAGTTGAGTAGTCCTCGACTTACGACCGTTGAGTAGTCCTCGACTTACGACCGGTTGGGGGTCGTGGCATTAAAAAGGTTGAGAACCACTGCTCTAGAAAGAGTACAGAGAGAGCAACAAAGATGATTAGGGGACTGGAGGCTAAAACATATAAGGAACAGTTGCTGGAATTGAGTATGTCTAGTTTAATGAAGAGAAGGACGAGGGGGGACATGATAGCAGTGTTCCAATTTCTCAGGGGCTGCCACAAAGAAGAGGGAGTCAAGCTATTTTCCAAAACGCCTGAAGGCAGGACAAGAAGCTACGGGTGGAAACTAACCAAAGAGAGAAGCAACCTAGAACTAAGGAGAAACTTCCTGACAGTTAGAACAATTAACCAGTGGAACAACCTGCTTCCAGAAGCGGTGAATGCTCCAACATTGGAAGTTTTTAAGAAGAGACAGCCATTTGTCCAAAATGGTATAGGGATTCCTGCCTGAGTAGGGGGTTGGACTAGATGACTTCCAAGGCCCCTTCCAACTTTATTATTACTATTATTATTTTGGATCATCGCACAGTCAGCCAGATGTTCAGACTGGATTTGCATTTTGTCTACCTATCGAGTCCTTACCCAGGACCTGGGATAGGCAGATGTGGATGTTTGATGGTATTACAGATATCGTCGCAGGATGGAAGCAGTTCCTAGTAAGGCCGCCTTTTACAATTGACTAATAGCGAATTTGTCAATGCCAATGGTGTTCAAGTGGTCCTCCAGTTGTTTTGGGATTGCACCCAAGGAGCTTATTACTATTGGTACCACCCTTGTTTGCTTTTGCCACAGTCTTTCTATTTCTATTTGTAGGTCTTTGTATTTTGTTATCTTCTCCAGTTCTTTCTCGTCTATTCTGCTGTCTCCAGGCACTGCCGCATCCACTATCCAGACTTTTTTGTTTTTCTTATCGACAGTTGTTAAGTCTGGGGTGTTATGTTGCAGGTGCTTGTCTGTTTGAATTCTGAAGTCCCAGAGCAGTTTAATTTTATCATTTTCTATGACTTTCTCTATTTTACGATCCCACCAGTTTTTGCTTACAGGCAAATGATATTTTTTGCAGATCTTCCAATGCACCATTGTTGCTACTTTGTCATGCTGCTGCTTGTAATCAGTTTGTGCAATCTTCTTGCAACAGCTTACCAAGTGGTCCACTGTTTCTTCAGCTTCTTTGCATAGGCGGCACTTACTATCTGTTGCTGTCTTCTCAATTTTGACTTTGTATGCATTTGTCCTTAAGGCTTGGTCTTGTGCAGCCAGAATTAGTCCCTCGGTCTCTTTCTTCAATTTTCCTGCTCTTAGCCATTGCCAGGTTTTATTATTATCTGCTTTCCCAGCTATTTTTTTCACGTATTGGCCATGTAGTGCTTTGTCTTCCCATGCCTCTATTCTGTTCTTCATTTGGTCTTTCTTGTAGGCCAGTTTGGTCTCTCCAGTAGTTAGTAAGCCTTCCTGATATACTAATTTCAGTGCATCTTCATCATTGTTCTTCAGATATTCTTCCAAAGCCATTTTTTCTTCTTCAACCATCTGATGTACTTGTAGCATTCCACGCCGATCTATTTGCCTTGGTAGATAAAGTCTATCAATGACACTGTGTGGATGAAGGGCATGATTCATTGTCATTATTTTTCTGGTCTGCCTATCCATTGCTTTTAGTTCTGCTTGAGTCCAGTCCACTATTCCAGCTGTGTACCTAATGACTGGGATTGCCCAGGTGTTGATTGTCTTTATGGTATTTCCTCCATTGAGTTTGGACTTTAAGATCTTCTTCACTCTCTTGATGTATTCACCTCTAATCTTTTTTTTGACTTCAGTGTGCTTGATGTTGTCAGCTTGAAGGATACCCAAGTATTTGTAGTACTCTTCCTCATCCAGACTCTTAAAATAGTGAAAACTATTATTATTATTATTACTACTACTACTACTACTACTACTACTATTACTACTACTATACAACTATGAATCTGCATACAGGCGGGAGGTTGAGCAACTAGCCTTGTAGTGCGGCCAGAACAATCTTGAACTGAACACATGCAAAACTGTAGAAATGGTAGTAGATTTTAGGAGAAACCCTCCTATACTATCACCTCTTACAATACTAAACACAGTGTCAACAGTAGAGACCTTCACATTTCTAGGTTCTATAATATTTCAAGACTTAAAATGGACAGCCAACATAAAAAATGTCATCAAAAAAGCACAACAAAGAATGTTTTTCCTGCACCAACTCAGAAAGTTCAAACTGCCCAAGGAGCTACTGATACAGTTCTACAAAGAAATTATTGAGTATGTCATCTGCGCCTCTATACTGCCTAGTTTAGAACTGCAACCAAACAAGACAGACACAGACTTCAACGGATAGTTAGAACTGCAGAAAAAACAATTGCTACCAGCCTGCCTTCCAATGAGGACCTGTATACTGCACAAGCCAGAAAGAGGGCTGTAAAAATATCTGTAGACCTCCTGGACATAAACTGTTTCAACTTCTTCCCTCAAAATAATGCTATAGGCCAGGGCATTGCACACCAGAGCAACTAGACATAAGGACAGTTTTTTCCCCCCTCTGCCATCACTGTTTAACAACTAATTCCTACAACCCTGTCAAAATACTTAGTAAAGCTTTATTACTATGGTACGCCTCATGTTTCCTATTACCTATCCCAGTGATGGCAAACCTATAGCACCCGTGCCAGAGGTGGCACTCGGAGCCCTTTCTGTGGGCACATGTGCCATTGCCCCAGCCTCGCCTCCCCCCATGACCCCCTCACCAGCAGCCCTCCTGGAGGAGTCATCCCTGAGCGTGGCCCACGCGGAGCAGCGCAGCCAAGGACATGGCAGCCAGGCAATGTAAACAAGACTCTGCCCTCACACCCCATCATGCACAGTTGATGCTGCGGGGTGCGGGCAGAGGGTGTGGCTGCCATGGCGCTGCTGGGCTGCCTGGGCGATCTGTGGTGGGCCCTGGAGGCGGTCAGTGGCCCTGCGGATAGGCAGGGTGGGGGACGGTGTGGGGGTGGAGCAGGGGCATGGCAGGGGGTGGAGCGGGGACAGGGCCAGTTTTTGAGCACTCGGTCTCTAAAAGGTTCACCATGACTGACCTATCCTTATCTTATGACTATAACTTTGCTGCTTGTACAATTTATATTGTTTACTTAGCTAGTACTCTATGACTATCACTAAGTGTTGCATCTTATGATTTATGATGAATGTATTTCATGTTGTATGTGATCATGATTATCAGTACTACTTTTATGAGAGCTTATACACTGGAGATGTATTCCTTGTGTGACCAACCACACATGGCCAATAAAGAATTCTATTTTACTCTACTATTCTTCTTATTTCTATTTCTATTCTATATTCTAAGTCAGGGGTGTCAAACTTAATTTCATTTAGGGCCGCATCAGCATTGCGGTTGCCCTCGGTGGGCCAGATGGGTGTGGCCAGGGTGGGTGCAGCCTACTGGGTGGGGGTGGATGGAGTGGTTGTGGCCTATTGGGTGGGCATGGCCAGCTCTACATCGTTCATGTCAAGGGTGTCTGTGGGGGCCTGGGCAGGAGTGGGACAGATCTGAGGGTCTCTGGCAGAAGGGATGGGACCAGGGCAAGTGCCAAGGCATGGTCCACTAGAGGAGTCTCACTGTTCTTCTCAGGCTGTGCGAGGGGGGGCTGGATGGTGGTGCGGGCTGCCCGGAGCACTGGGCAGTAGAGGTCAAACGCCCAGCCTGGCCCTCAAGCACCTGCAGCACCAAGCCCAGACCCACTTCCCCAAGGGGGCGCCCAGCTGCACTTATCTTCTTCTCAAGGCTGCTGCTCTCCTTAGCCAGGTTGCTCATGATATGTACGAGGGCAAAGTCAGAGGGAGGCCCATTCCGTCTCCATGGGAGTAGACCCGGCTTTGTATCCAAAGCTTCCTTAGCAATAGGATGGGAGACCCCCAGGATAGGCCAGGAGGAGGGACAAGGGGATGGTGAAAGGGCAGCAGGGCAGGACTAAGGCAGGAGTTCCCTCAGACCCTCCCTCTCCTTTCCTTCTTTCCTTCCTAAGTACAGAGTGGTGGGAAAATATTTGAGATGAGGGAGTGAGAAAAACAGGCAAGAAATGCAGCTGGGGAGATGTCACCCTTCGTGAGGAATGAAGAAATGCACCATCATCTGGAAGTAGCCAGCACATGGTCCTCACCTACTTCACATATCTGGCTTGGTGGGCTCTGGGAGAGGGGATGCCATGAGCAGTGTAAGAATCAACATTACCTGCGCAATGCCACCCAGCTCCCAGCCTGCCCGGTTTCTGCAGGCAGCGGGGTGCTCTCCTCACAGTGCTGAGAGGTTGAGACGGGTAGTGCGAAGCTCGTCAGCTTTGCACCTTGCTGCCTGCTGAAACTGGGCAGACTGGGGGCTAGGTAGCATTGCACTTCTCATCAGATTCACGCCATCCGGCACAGCTCTTGGCACTGTGAGGAGAGTGCCCCACTGCCTGCCGAAACTGGGCAGGCTGGGAGCTGAGCGGCCTCGTGCTTCTTTCTGGATTTGCGCCGCCCAGCTCAGCCTCTCAGCACTGTGAGGAGAGCACCCCGCTGCCTGCCAAAACCCCTCCCCCGGAGCCCATCAAGGTGAAGTAGGCGAGGGCCATTTGCTGGCCACTTCCAGGGGATGGTGCATTTCTTCATTCCTCACAAAGGGTGACACTTCCCTAGCATCCTCGCTGTTTCCAGACAGCCTTGTGGAGCTAAGACTGAATGCGTTTCAGCATAGATGGCCACCACAAAATTGTACATTGGCTCCTGGCCGGCCTGGGCCAGGGTCAAGGCAGAGGGGGCCGTTCACTCATTGTTTCCAGGATGGCTTTGCGGGCCCCACTTCGCGGGCCACATCCGGCCCCCGGGCGTTGTGTTTGACATGTCTGCTCTAAATGTTAGATCTATTTTCTTCCTTCCATTCATTAATCTGTGCACTTTTCCATATATTGGTGTTTCATTACAAACTATAATTTTCCATGTTTGTCATCAGAACGGCCAATAAATATTGATCTCTCCCACTCATCATGGTTTTGGTCAACTGAAGCTTTTGCATGATTATTTTAAGTATGATAAAAAGTGAAGACTAGGTTCCCATTCTTAGTTGTACTCATACTACTCTCTATTAACAGTAAAGACATTATATCGATCAATCTTGGCAGGATGTGGCCAGTATATCCCACCTTTATGTTCATGCTTTGGAAACTAACTGATTACAATGACCCAGAGTCCAACTTTCTTGTACTCTCCACTATGGCTGATGAGATCTGTTTTGGTGTACCTTTTCCAACGGAGGCACTACCTGAAGATCACGCATATGTCCAGCCACCCATTAAGATTACAGCTCTGCCTGTTATAGCACTAAAATCCAAGATCTGTACTCACCATCTCCCAGTTCCCACGATGCAGCAGCTGTGGGCAACACCACTAAACTTTTCTACCGCTACTTCCGCCGCACGGCACATGTGTCCCGCTTTTAATACATCACTTCCGGTCATTACCGTCAAATGGAGGCTAGAGCAGCCTGGTTCCGTTTTGCTAAGGGAGCGTCAGAATCGGGACCGACTGTTTGCATTTTTTACTTCGGCTTCCACCCTGTTCCCCTTCAGGGGGAAGCGAAAGACAGGAGGACCTGGTACGGGGACGGAAGGAAGAGGGAAGTAGCTGCAGCAGGAAGAGGTCCGTTAAGAAAATCCTGCCCTTCTGGAAGAAACGGGCAGCCTCTGGCTTTTTGCTTTCGTTAGTGCAGGCAATAGGATTGCTGGAAGCAACAGGTGGTTGGACCGACCGCACGCAGAGTTAAAAGAGGCTGCAGGGATCTCAGATGGGAATCCTCCCAGTTGGGTCGTTTATTTCCAAACTCTCTCTCTAACCAGCCGGGAAGAAGAAGGAAATTTGACTCTGGGGTATTTGGTTCTCTCGCTTTCTTTTCTTCCCCTCGCACGAGTGTACTCCCTCCCTCCGTCCGGGAGAAAAGGGAAAAGCGGTGTGTTGCTACAATGTTTTATAATTATGAATATCCTCTCCCACTCGTGTGTTAGGAAAGTAGGAACTGGAAAGCAGAAGTGTCCTTAAATTTATCAGTTCATAATTTTCCCTTGGTTTACAATCTTCCCATCACTTTCCATTTTTTTACCATTTTTTAAAATTTGTCCCGAAAGGCCAGTTAATATTTTTCATTTTTTGATTTGGAAAATTATGTTTTGTGTTTTGCAAACAGGCGTGTTAGGTGTTGCTTTAGTTTTTAATACTGTTTCATTGAGTACTGCTGTTATAATTAGTTTTGTCTTGTGGTCTGCAAGCTTTATGCAGTGAGATATTTTTCATTGTTCTGGAAAGCGGTGTGCAATTCTAATTTGGATAGTGTCAAAATTGCCCTACATGTCAGGCTAGTAATGAAAACGGTTTTACTTCTTAGTATGTGAATGGAAAAAAACTGTACTAAAAGTTCTGTTACAGGGTTTCTCCTTTTTCAAAGCATTATATGGAATGTCAACAAGCTAACTTACTATTGGATGTTTATGAAGGTGGTATTTCATTGTATGAAATATATTATGACTTGCCATATAGAATTTGTCCTATATTGGTCTTGTTTTTGTGAAATTCAGGGAAAAATTAGCATACAAATTGCAGGAAGTTAGACAGTCTATTGGATCACTTCCAGTTGATTTCTTATAATTTACTTTCATTTATTATATTCTTGTATAATGTAGGTATCAGCTTGGTCCTTGTCAGATATTACTTCATAAAGTAGTAATTTTTTAGATACATATAATAATTTGTTCTTACTTGTAAAGTTAGTCTTGCAATATTTGGTTACTTGTACTAAATAATCCACTTGGTTACTTGTACTAAATAATAATTGGTTTTAAATAAATAATTGATTTTAAGTAGGGCTACATTTTTTTATCCATTTAAAAACTACCCCACTTTTTTTTAAAAAAAGGCAAATTACTAAGGTGGCTCTAAAACATAGGCTGAAGTAAAATTATTGTAATAAATACTGATTAATGAAAACATTCCTAGTATTTCGTATTTTACAAGCAGTAGTATGACAGGTGAAGTGATAGTTGCAGCAGGTAGTTTTGGATCTATTTTGAAAATTCAGCAGAACTCTGATTATGTTTATCCAACTGTTCACTTAAGAACTATTAATTGCCTATACCACAAGGGGTTTGGTTAGTATATGAACAAATGTTTAATTTTGTATTTTAATTACTTTATGTATCTAATAGTATTTTTCTATTTTGGTGTTCAGATTTGACCTAGAACCACTTACATTATTGTGACGTAATCTCACTTTATTTACAGACTGCTTGCAACCTGCATTTTCTGTTCAGAAATATTTTTAACAGGGAATCTGCATCAATGTTATAATCACTGTACAAACTAAATAGAAAGATGCAACTGGGAATGGTTTCCCAGCATATCTGGTGAAATATGGTGGAATAGCATATCTCAGAGTATGCTTGTGATTTCAGCATTCTCTGCATGGTAGAGAAACTTTGCCTTGAGTCAGACTGCTTGTTACTAATAGGCAGGTGGTAATGTAAAATAAATATTCACTGAGAGGTTTATCAAAAATTGTGAAAAACTCTTAATATTAAAAAGAGTATTGTGTTGTCAGCTAGAAAGTGGGTGTGTAGAAGAAAACATCTGAATTATTTCACACTTTTCATTTGTAGAATTTGATTGTAAATATTGTATCAATAGAAGTTTCCAATTATTGTAACCTTTAAAGGATCTATTTGCTGTCATTCCAGAGTGTATGACCCAAAAGATACTTTTTAACAAGAAAAATTCTAATTGAAAGTTGGAACAAACTTCCTAACAATAAAAGCAGTTTCACAGTGGAAACTATTACTCAGAAAATTAACCTGCTTCCCGTTCATTGGTTATGTTTAAAAGAAGGCTGAGAAACCATCTATTGTCGATATTTCATTTTGGATTCCTGCACTGACCAAGGTATTAGATTTGATGGCCTAAATAATCTCTTTCTGTGAATTTTGTGCTATGTGAATCAAACCTACATTTTTGTTTGTCAGATTTGAAATGAATTTGGGCAATTCGTTGATCTGGGCAATGTCATCTCAGAATGATTCATGTAAAAATAAACCTTTTTATTAGTTTCTGATAACTTTCAAAGAGAAAGAAATAGGAATGTTTATGACTGAGGTAGCAGGAAATTGAAGCATGGCATGACAGGCCTGACCTTTGGTCTCTTGATAACATTCTATTTTGTTTCTTGCAATTTAATTATTATCTTTTGTGAACATTGTGTTTTCGTTGATGCAGTCTTGAACTGTTGTTTAAGCTTTTGCATCACAGTGCTGATTCCAATTTAGTTTGAGTATCTAAAGCCTGTAGATTCTTATCTGTTGTATTATGAATATCAATGTATCAAGTTTTTTTCTACATATAGTAAATATTTTTCTCTCTATATTGAATGGAGTGTTCAGTTTGTTTATATTATGATTGGATCCATAATGTCAGTTGTCAATTAAACTTATGAAATAACAGTTGCAATCATCTAATTTTTGATCTTCTGCCTATCCTGAATTATTGTTTAATGTATTCTGCTTCTAATGACTCAAGCATTTTATTAGTTTCCTTGATTGTGTGTACAGACATAAAAAACTTCCAGGCAAACTGGAATAACTTGCCTATATTTGTTCATTCTTTCTTGGAGAGATAACGGAATCTAATCTCTGGATTTCCTTTCTTTTTCTTTTTTAACTAGATAAATTATTGGCCTTTCTATTGAAACAGCAAGAACTAGTATCATTTTTATATTGAGAATGCTTAGGGAAAAACATGTAATAACTCTGTTTTGACAAATCAGTATTTTTCTAACTGTATTAAATTGAGAAAGAGCACAGAAATTAACATTTTTAAATCAAAGAGTTCTTCTAAAGATTATATATGACAGGATTTTTTTTTATAATAATATTGTGAAATCTTTGAGAACAGAACAAACCTCCTGACCTTATGCTTATCCTATTTAGTGATATTGAACATATATTGTTTGGAGGATTAGAACACTTAAAAAAAATAAATTCCAATTTTGGAAAATTTTGTTTGTTGTGCAAACTTTAGCATATGACTCTTATGTAAGAGTCCAAAGTATTATAGAAAACGACAAGGATTAGATAATATTCGATTACTAATTGAAATTCTTGATATATATAGAATCAGAAAAAATTATTTCACTAGGTTTGGAAAAGGAATTTTTGAAGCATATTGAAGACAGTTGATTTCAGCTAGTCCTCAACTCATGATCATTTCCTAGGCAACCAGTCAAAGTTATAATGGACCCTAAAAAGGGATTTATGACCCAGATTCAAAGTTCTGATACCCAGATACCCCACCCTACCCCATATGTGACCACATTTTGGGTGCTTGGCAACTTTATGGCCATTTGCAACAACCGGTAGTCATGTGACTGCAATTTACAATGTTTTTGCAGGAAACCAGTGGTTACTTCCAATTTCCAACAAAAACTGCCTCACAGTGAAAAATGGATTTGTTTGCTATGGCATTCCCTTTATGATTGTAGTGTTATTGTTTGTTTGATTGTCACCCATCTTGCCTCAAGGTGACTCTTGTTTGCTTAATGACTGCCACCAAAAAGGTTGTAAAATTGGGTACGATCATGTGGGTGACCTGCCTTATAACCATCACGACTTACGATCACATTGTGAACTCGGTCATTAGTCGAGGATTACCTGTATTCTGAATGCTGTTTAGAAGGAACCACAGGTTTCTTCTGCTTGCATTATTTTATATGCTAAATTGTTAGTAAAGTGATGAGTCCTTTGCTGATGGCTTGGAGAAGAACCATACCATTCATTTTATTTGCATGGAGTGTGCATAACACAACTGCCTTTCTCTCCCTGTTCAGTTCAGATACATCTGTCAGCATGCCTCCTTCAGGTGAAGCTTGATTCACTTGTAGGTTTCTTGGTAATAGATCTGAAGTGGTTTGCTGTAGCCCTTTTGTTGGACTTTTTAACTTTTTTAGTTGCCCCGCCCAAAATACTGTGAGGCTAATTTATTTATTATTTATAAATTTATTATTAATTACTTGTAAATAAGAGTCAAGGGAGAATCTGCTTTATTTTATACTCCTGTATGATCATAATGCCTTTTTTCTCATTGATATTATGCTTGGTCTTTGGCTCTGTCAGTTTAAGAATCAAAGAATGACCTTTTTTAAATCCAATTTCTTCTATAGTTTTTAAAAAATCATATGTAATATACATAATGATTGCAACTCCTTGTTTTCATTTCAGGAAAATGATCTGAGAGCTTCATGGTCTGATAATGCAGAGTGCCACTTCTTGAGATGATTCACTTCATTGCTACATTTGATTCCCTGGCTCTGAGCTCCTATTGTAATTTCCAGGATCCTATGGATACTGCCTGGTGTCTATCCTGAATAAAGGTGCAGAGGAATGTGCACTCCCACTTTGACTTTCTGGACATGGGAGTTTGAATAAAGGTAATTCTTTCAAT